GTGTGGACCCATTTGTCGGGCCGGAGAGCGAGTGATGATAAATCCCCCAAGGGAAACCCAAGCAGCCGCTGACAGCGTGTATAAGCTGAGGGATACGGAGGAGCTCCTCGGCTGTTGTTGTTGGCATTGCTCCACACCACCGCTACGAGGGCGAGTCCAAAATCCTGGACGATAAAGAGGCCGATGCGCCTGATTTGCACGGGGGGGTGAGCTTCCTGCTCGATGGGAAAGGACGTAGCGAACAAATGATGTGCTGAGAGGTATGTATGCACATGTGTGAGCACTGCGGACCGCCTGAGAATAGAGGTCAAGGTGTCCTCATATCGCAAGCTCAAATCTTTAGAAAATTGTAGACTTTCTAGATGAATGGAGACATACTGGCACAGGCCCAGTTAAAGATAAACAAGTGATTCTTGTATGGTAATTAACTTATACCACCAATGCAATTTAAAAAGCATTTTAAATCTTAAATTCCCACTTCTCACAGTGTCAAAACCTTTAATGTTACTATTCACTATAACTGTTTATTTAGTATAATTTCAATGGAATGTTCTTTGATCTACCAACCAACAACAAGACGTTAGAACCTCAACAGGGTGTTGGGATAGCAGATTAGATTTATGGTTTCCATTAACATTTCACTTATGTCCTTGCAGGGAAAAAGATCGAACCAAACGCTGTCGCAACACAGACTCTTCATCATTTTGAGCTTGAACCGCAGCATATACTCAGAGTAACACTTTCAATTCATACTATTAGTGTCGAGGGAGCTGGAGAGCAATTATCTTAACCATTATTATTATTATTGAGAGCTGGCCCAGACGGTAACGTACCCCCGAGGGCAGTCCCACAGTTGCCACGACGTATGAGGAAAGTTCAACTACCTCGAATAAAATATAGAAATCAAGTGCTAATTGAAATGCATCCATATTTAAATGGGTAGGAAAATAAACAGTGGAATGGAATTCCAAATTGGTACACCATTCCTCTGTAATTTGAGGAATTTCTCGGGGCAGTGGTGAAAGTGGATGAAAAGAAAGTTGGCAAGTGAGCAGAGAAATGGAAACATGACTGTTGTGTTAAAAGTGAATAAGGAACAGATGGAATAGTTTAAATAAGTAAACCACTCAAATACATTTGAGCTAAACAATGAAGATTCAATGGAATCAACAAAATACTGTAACAAAATACGCTTTTAATCATGATGTGTTTCCCATCCAGTTCAAAGTGAAGAATTACAGACAAAGAAAGCTTGAAACCAGTGAAACCACTAACGGAAGCTGAACAGACCAGTGTGTGAAGAACACCTGGATACTGTATTGATGTTTGTTTGCCTTCCAACAAACCCTCTGAAGCTGTATGACCTCAAGGGGGCTTGTTAGCAAGGAGGTTGTAACCTTTGACCTGTGCTGCTTAGTTAGGACAGGGTGGGCCATTTAAAGCTGGTAAGGGGGTGTCATGGTTAATAAGGTAACATCTGGAAGAGTTATGGCCATTAGTGAAGCGCTTTCAGACTTTGACAAAATACCCTCGTGAAAGAATGCAACCACATGCGTGAAAATAAAAACACTTTCAAGGGATATGGAAACGAGACCCTGAAGCCGACCGACTCAGGGGAGGATCTCAAAAGGCAATGAAGCGTTTCAGGAATGCTTTACCATCTCAGTGTGGTGGGTTGGATGAAACATACCATTTAAAAGTGAAACTTTGCTCGAAAGGGCAGCATAGTTGTGGCTTAGTTCTGCTAAGATACACAGAGGAAGATCGACAGTGTTTTCTACAGAGGCCAAAGAAAATGACTTCTTCACGGCGAAAGTGAGAGGCTGTTCCTGAGGAATCACGCAAGTCCATGTTCAAACAAGACAAGGGCAGTTTATAGCGCTTTAACTGGTGAGGACACGGGACACCTCATTACACCAATGGCTGACTCCATATAAATGTTTCAGCTCATTCTGCTCTTGCGCCGACAGGACGACTAAATAATGCACAACCAGATAGAAGTCATTATAAAACCTCAGATTTCTGGATAGTTTTTTCAGAAATAAATGAGGGATTTTAAAGAATGATCATTTGTGCATTTTTATACACTGTAAGACTTCAGTTCAATGCAAACAATGTATTAGTTTTAAGTTTGATGTGAAGATCATTAGCGCTTTTTTTGTGTCCGTTCTATGGAGCCGGAGCCAGCAGGCGAGTCATCGAGCTTTACACAAAGACTGGACAGCTAACTTTATAGGTCGCTAAAATAATGGGTCAACCAGGGCTGCTGCATTTTAATTATTAACACGTTTCATCTTGTTGGTGTCCCCCTGTCTTCAGTTTCTATGGGAAACCGTATCATCTCAGCTCCAGTTGACGCTTAGACATGGCACTGGTATAAATCATTTAACTGTCAACAAGATAACGAAGAATATAGACAGATTCCTTCAAAATGATATGATGATCATTGAAGCACCTCAACCGTCTTAACAGGATTAATTCATCAAAACAAAGACACAGACAAAGACATTTGACAGGAATGTATTAGTGTGTCATTTAGACATTGATTTCTGCTCTTGCAGAAAGTGAGCTGGATATAACGTATTACGGCTGGGAGCAAACAGCAGGTGACAGTGTAAATGTAGACGTATCCAATGTCATTACTCTTCTAACTATGAAGAAAACTACGGATCATTGATGAAAATTCTTTGTGGCGAAATGGCTGGTATTATTCTGCTAGCGGCTGTTCAAAGGATGAAAACGGATAAAAAGATAGTAAAACATGAGAAACGCGTTCATGAGTGGGAGCGTGGAGGTCATCACCGGTACCAGTGGGGCCCATTCCCACAAGAATAACAGCGATGCCTGTTCATACTAACTCCTCACCCTGTCTGTTTACCTCAGCCTAACCTCATCACCGCCCCCCTCCCTCCATCCTTCCCCACCTCCTGCTCACCTCCTCCTCTGCATTCCCCCCCCCAGAGAAACAGTCTGTCTTCACTCAAAGCTATCAGCTCTGATAGCCAGACAGGACCAATGAGGAAGTAGCTCTAATTAATCAAAGATTATCGTGTCCGGTTGCCTGGAAGCTTTGTGTTGTGTCGACGTCTCTCTATTTCAAACCGACTAAGCCTGCGTCTGGTTCATTTTAGCCCAACATCCTCTAAACTATCTCCTCCTGACTCGCGTCAGCGGAGTCACGTCTCAACCTCGCTCTGACCGGAGAGGCAATGGCACTGTTAGAAATCCAATGCGCCCTGTAACTCATAACCGTTCTGTTTTCTTTCTGACATATTTATACCAGGACAATGTCAAGGCCGTGCGTCTGTGTCCGATATCAATCTACGAGTCTGACTTCCACCGTCTCTCACTGACCGTGAAACGAGGGGGGGGGGGGACGTGAATCCTGGCAAACAGAGAGGCAGGCATTGGTCGAGAGCCAGTCGCACAGTGATTCACTGCTGACCGAGCCTCGGGGAGAAGGCAGTAAAGCAGACTCTGTCAGCCGGCCAGCGCTAATTTCCATACAAATCGCTGCGGTGTGATGCGGAGGATTTGTAAAGGACAAGTGGGAGGTAACGTGTCCACACACACACACACACACACACACACACACACACACACAGGCGTGTTTGCGTACAAGTTTGTGGTTTGGGGCCCAAACACCAGGAGCCTTTTCAGGTATCGAACGCCCGCCTCACATCCGACTGCGAGCTCATGCATGTCCGGCTTTGTCACACCGGGGGAGCAACAAGCCCAGCATCACCTTCGGCTCATATGGTGTTTGTTTGTGAAACTGTCTCACAGCATGTGGGCCCCCCTCCCCCCCTCCCCCCTCCGACTGCCGGCCTCACGCCCTTTGTCCCCCCTGTGTGGTCCCGTCCTCCCCTTCACATCGCATTCCTCCCTTCGCTTGTCCGTGCACCACTCGATCTGGCAGCGCCCCGACGTATTGACACAAAGGCAGCAGGTAGACGCCGGCATCCTGGCGAAGTAATGCTCGAGACGCGGGAGAAATTAGCACACCCTGAAACAGCTGGAACAAATGGGGAGCATATGGGTGTGTTGCTGGGAACATGTTTCAAAAAAACAAAGAAGAACCTGCTGCTGCTCAACCATCCGGCCAACATTGGGAATAGCTTCACACAGTGTGCGGAGTGGTAACAGGTTTCCATTTGCTGTCTCTGTGCAGCTGGATAATGCTCCTTTAAAATGCATGCGAGGAAGAGAGCCCCAAAGAAGGGGGGCAATTAGAGGTAATTATATGGTACACAGAGCTTTGTTAACAAGCGTCGGCAAATATATCACTGCGTGGGCGACAATGGGAGGCTGATTAGCGCCATCCCCTCCGACACACAGAGAGATGAGAGATTTAAGGAATATTACCTCTCAGGTAACAAACACCTGTGGTTTTGAATATGTTTTTCAGCTAAATGTGGTCTTAAAGGAATTTAAAGGAGGAGAATGAAGAAAAACCTGGCGAGTTAAAACTGCAATGGAAATATGAGGACAAAAACAATATAAACATTGGTTTTGAGAGGGGTTTTTTATCCCACATCCAAGGAACAAGTAACGGAATGGCGGTCATAACACACCTTGAGTTACCGATTAGACACACTAAAACCTAACTACTGTTGACACTGCGGGACAACTTTTGGGTTCATTCTTTTGCCATCGGACTGAACGGAGTTTAGAGGCGAGTTGAACTCTCTGATAAAACGGTTGTAAAATCCCGAGGAGGAGAAGTTAAACCCTGCCAGCTCTGTGTTGTTCACACATTTCTCTCCGTGTGGTAAACAAGAGATGCTGTGTGACTCTACAGTGTCCCAGAGAAATAACACATTAGGCTCCTGGATGACTGAGGTGGCTGTTCACCTTGGTGTTTTTATTTCCACCTGTAATAGTGCTGAGTGCATGTACTGTATGTGTATTGCAGGCCAGCTTCCTTCTGTCACCAGATAGTTTCTGGTAACTTTGTGTTACAGTTGTGTTGCTATCGGGTGTTGGCTGAGGTTACATACCGACAGCTTTGATGATAAGTCCCTTTGGTGACCTCAGAGCTCTGCGCATCCACGCTTCTCTCAGCACCTCCAAGTTGTTTGCGTTCCCTTGAATGAAAAGCACCAAGTTTTCCATCCATCCCTGGAAGTGCACTTCAGCCATGGCCTTAACGAGTCTCTTATTCCAGGAACTGCGCAGATTTTGAGCCTTGAAGTCCGCAAACACCTCCTGTCCGCTCGTGGCACCGGCACCGATTTTCCCTCCGCCGGCGCGCAGACTCTCCTCATCCGGCGCGAAGACGACCGCGAGCGAAGCGGCGGAGAGCTGCACGAGCCGCTGATGGTGAGACATTTCTAACGCCTTTTTACCGGCTGCGGGGGCCAGCCGGCATGCTACAAACGCCAATGCACTTGTCAAACAAACAGAAACAAAGAGCTCTCTTTCAAAAATATCCCCAAAATCAACTTCTGGCTTTGCCACGCGCTCCTCCGGCGCGCGTCTCGATCCTGCAGCGAGTGAAGCGGAGGCGCAGTGGACGTCCGGCGGGTTTCTCTCCGCTTCCAGAGGCGACCAATGACGGCGGAGAGGAGGAGCGCTCATCGGTCTGCACGGTCACACAGGTAGACCTCCCACTGACTGCTCACCGGCGTGCGTGTGCGTGTGTGTGTGTGTGTGTTGCTTCTGTTATGCAGGAATCAGACAGGTGGTGCAAACTGCAACACAGCGACAGATCTTGACCATAAAAAGAGAAAGTGCTTAATTAGGTCCAATTACATGGAGGGCTTGTAAAATACTATTGGCACAGAAAATGCTACATAGTCTACAGAAATCACCATCAAAGGAAAAGATGCCATCAAAGCGGGAAGGTAACCTTTGGTTAGGGATTTTGAATGATGCAGTTTATTCCCTATAGCAAATAGCAGAAACAATTGGTTTGCGTTGTAAAGTGGGATCTCATATGAAACGTGAAACTTGAAATATCGCACGTGACGGAAATGACTTAAAAGAAAAATAGTTTTCAACAAAAGTTCTTGATGCTCAGGAACATATTTACAACTTAAACGCGAACCAGTCACCCGCTTTGCTCTCAAAGGAGGGGCCCCATTAGTCCCGGCTTTTACTGACACTGTACCAGGCAGAGTCTGAAGCACAGACAGACACCTCATATATCACTTGTGACTTTAGTTTCAGGAGCACTCGGGCCCCTGAGTGGCCGGGGGCCAGTCTGCCTCAGTGTGGTATTAGAGCCCGTGCAGCAACAGGATATTGAGCTTCCTCTGTACGTGAAAAGAATACATCACCTCGGCCTACACAGGATGAATTATGTGCAGTCCGTCCCGGGGGGGGAAGCAGTGGAGGGAAGTTAGAGGGCAAGAGAGAAAACATTCTGTGTGGGATACAAGATTTATTTGAAGAAATCTCGTGTGGTTAGGAATTTTTGATAATAATTTTCCTTTTTCTCACAATTGTTACAGACGCACGATGTTTCAGCCAAACTTTGTTAAACCCAACCAGACAGCATGTCAACTTTAGGGGAGATTTCTAAACTAATTCCGTCAGTTTGAATATTTATGAATCAATATTGAATGGAACCGTGTATTTGGTTTTAAATAGTCAATAGTCATCAAGCGGATACAGAAATAAATGTTTTTTCCAACCATGAAGGCGACCTGTGGCATGATTGATGACACACATGCCCATGAATCATTATTTATCAGGCTTGAGTGGCTTTTTTTACTCTCACCTTTCCAACCAACTCATCACAGTTTTAGCCTCTGCGCAGATGCTGGTGCTTTGGGCATGAGTGAAAGATGTTTCTGTTTTGGAGCATTTTATTTAATCTGTGAGTGGTCAGTGCAGGGAGCTGACAGGAAATGAGTGGAGAGAAATGGGGGATGCAAGAAGTCCACAGCTCAGGACTCAAACAGTAAGTATGAACCTATATTGGACGAATGGGAAACTGCTTCCTATAAGATCACCTTAATTACAATATATCACTGTGGATTTGTGTGGTATTCGACACATGAAAACACACACATGTTTTTAGCATTGTTTGCATTACGTGGTTTGGAGAGAAATGCTCCCATTGTTTGATACTGTTTCCTTCCTCCAGATAAAAATATTGGCACACACTTGTGGTGAACATGGACAATGGGTCTTGGCCCACCGGCCCGTCCCGCATTTCAAATCTAAGGGCTCTTTTTTTTCCCCAAATGTTTAGTCTGCTGGTGGGACTTGATTTTCAAAAGGTTCAACGAGTTACCACAATTATATGAAATCCTGCACTCTGGCCCCTGATTTTCAATTAACACACGTGGATCTCCCTCTCGCTGTGCATGAAGCAATTTCCAAGAAGTATCAGGTGTCTCTAAAGGCCAACGACCTTGAGGTGAATACATTGTATATTTGAATATGATCATTTCAGTGAACCACAAACCTGAATCTAAAGTTTGAGTTCCTGCATACTAAAACATCTGGTCCTGCCATAAGCTCTTGGCCCTCAGGACATTTTCTGACTCAAACAGCCCCCGAAGGCTTCCCCTTACCTCCTTGCCAAGATTAAATATGATCCAAATCATCCCTTAAAGTCAGCAGAATTCCTGCACATGAGCCAGTAGGGATATGGTTTAACTTCTGAATCAATAAAACCTTCATTTTTGTAAGTCTTACATGTGTTTTAGAGAGACTATAACATCTCTGTTAAGGTAACGATTGCACTCAGGAATTTCTAATCCGAGTGGTGGTGGAGACGGTCAGTGCTGCTTCATATGGAGGAGGTCAGAGGTTATTCGAGGGTCAGGCCGTTTACTCAGTAACCTGACTGGATGGTTCTTCAGGGAGGACGATAGGATTAGGACACTTATAACAAGGCTAGACTGCTATGATTGATATTGTGTCTTTAGCTCAACGCGCTACACATATTTTCTTGCTTGAATCAATATTAAAACATCCATTACTAAATATCACAAATATATAATGTCTTGTTTGGTAAACCGTACGACCAAAAAGCGAACACATGTTGGGGTTTGACTGGATTTATATGCTCACTAGGCTCAATTTCCCCGTTAGCAGTCTTTATGTTGAGCTAAGCCAGCTGGTGGTTTACTGTAGTCTACTTTGGCCTGAGACATTAAAGAGAGACCCCAAGAGACAAGTAAGCACAACTCTCAAAATATGGACTGTTCCTTTAAAATGCAGAGGATGGACTCTTAAAACATGCAGATGAAACTGGAAGCAGATGCAAAATCTACTTCATTCATCAACCCTGCTTGTCAGGATCCTTTTTGTTTGTTATCCATGTAAGAGTTTTCTTCAAGCTTTATGTCTGAGTGAACATGTCCAGGCATCCGTGCTGGTTCTCTGTTATTACGGTTTCATTATTTCAGCACTCTGCCATCGCCGCCGAGATCAAAGGAAGACCGGGCGGGTTTGTGTTCCCTCTCGACAGAATTGACGTCGAGAGAGAGAGCGAGCGATGCAACGCTCCAGCGCTCCTCAGCACAAATCAACGCACATCTTACATGGAACCTGCAGCAGCGACTGACTTCAGAGTCAGCTGGGAGCCAGACAAGACTTAATGACAGTGCTTTCTAACCATAAAACATGATTGCTTGGTCTGGATTATAATTGGGTCATGTTGTTTTAATAAGTCTAGGGCCGAGAGGGAATCCAGCAGAGCTCTTAGTTCTCAGAGGAGACTGGTTGGCTTTTTATACTCGTTTTAGAAGACATTTTTACCGGGAGCGGAAAAAGAAAAGAAAGAGAGTTGGAGTTACTTTGAGCGCTGTGTAGTGCGTTAAGCTGGTGAGTGACGGTTTACACCCACATCCTCCTGAGCCACACGCGCACACACACACACACACACACACACACACACACACACACACACACACACACACACACACACATGCACTAAAGAGCCTGTGGACATGCTGAAGATCACAGCCGTGTGAGAGATGTCTACAGCTGCACTTTGAGGTTGTGTGAAGGAGCAGGAGGGCCGGTGGGTTGTTGAGTGTCCCCCTTTCTTCCAGTTTGTGCAGCATCCACGTCCACACGGCTGAGTTCACAGGTGCAGCACTGACCTCCACAAAGCAACAACAGTCTCTTTTTGTTGCCAAGAAGCTTTCTGTGTTTGCGTGTGATGGATTTATTCCTGCGTTGATATGTGGGAGAACAGACAAAACAATACAGATAGCTTTGTTTAGTCTTCAGTGAAACAATTGTTAGTTATTTAGTTTTTAAGTTAAATGGCAGTCGTGAAACAATTACAATTCATGAGGCTTTGAGCTAAGAAGAGCAGAGTGAGAGACGATGTTTATATGCCGATTTAGCCGGTCTAATATTTCAGCATGCTGGTACGTGTCTTCTTGGCATTCTCTTACAATTTTATAATATTTTATAAACAAAACAAATGATTAGATACCTTGTGGGGGGGGGCGGTGGATTTCTCGGGCGCTCTTTTTCTCGAGGTCAAAGGGTTCTTTCAATCTTGTCACATTGCAGTATTGAAATTAAAGACAAATCCATAGTTAATGTTTTAACAATGGATAACTTTGCCACTGTGACTGATATGAGGAATACCAGTATGAGATATTTGGCTTTTCCCTGAAATAAATTTCCTGTTTGTACTTTATACGACAGTAAGAATTATTTATGCGCATCAGTTTCATTTAGATCTTTTCTCTAAAAGCACCTTAAACGAGGCGCCATCAGCTGATTGGCAGACTTGATCAACATCAAGGCTTATTCGGTCTGTGATGTGTCACCTGTCACCAAATTAACATGCAGGCCCGCCGCTGCTGCTAAATTAAACCAGGATCTAAATGACCAGAGCTTTGAACTGAAGAAGCAGAGCCTGAACGCCTCGGCGGTAATGTGACATCAAAGACGTGTGGAGAATATGAGCTTAAAAAAAAAAAGACCCTCTATTATTGAATCATGGAGGATACGGGCTCTTATTATCACACAGGGAAATACAAACATACAGGACTCAAATCTGAGCGAAAAGGAGATTGAGTAGACTTTTTTATTTTGCTGCCAATAATCCGCTCATAATGATGACACAAAGTAACTCATGTTGTCACAAGGTCATTTAACACCAATATAAGACGAATAAATACAAACCAAGCATTGATTCAGGTTTTTTTTTACACAGTTACTGATACTTAAATCGTTTTTGGTGCTTGGACTGCTGACCACGCACACCTGCAGCCTCTGCACCAACCAGTAGTTATCCCACCAGCTGGCCTGACCAATCATACACCCACCTACACGCACGCAGACACACACACGTTCCAAGGTCCATGTGTGCATGCACTGGGCCAAAGCCAGCTTTACAAATTTTACAATGGAAATGTTTTTTTTTTACATGTAGCAAGCTGGCACTGGAAATATTGGGTTCCCACTGTATGATTATCTTATTTAGTGACATACTTTCCTTCAGGGCAGCATGCAACAGCAATTAGGGATGATCTGCCTTTCCCCCCCAAAGTGTAGATACTAAGCCCGGATGAATGCGGCGCTTTGTGTCACTATTGTGAAGCGGTGGAATCTGAAACTTGCTTCCAATCGATGTGAAGCGGTGTAAAGTTGCGTTTAAGGGCCTCCTGGTTTCGCAGCCATGTAAGCGGGCGATTGTTCATGCCTACACTTTACCCGAGGAGGAGAGCGTGTTGGACTGTGGATGTTCTGCCGGGGCTCCGCGCCGCACAGAGCCGAGGTGTTCCCCCTCTGCCGCCCGGCAGACGCCCCAGAGACACGCTGTCAAAAACAACCGCCGAGGCTTCTCACACTGAAACCCAGTATTCCCGGGGAAAGGCCTTCGAGGGGGATCGTTTCCTCCACGACTACGACCGAGGAAATCGAGTTCCTGCAGCTCCAGCTGAACAGGTCCCCCCCTCCCCCCTCTCTCTCTCTGTCTCTCTCTCTGTCCTGCCGGGGAGACAAGCAAGCGCTCAATAGAGCCTCTCATGTATCAGTTGACTAAAATATCAAACAGCGAGTAAGAGGGTGGTTGACTTGTTTGTTTGACTTTTGTGGTCAGAAAGATTGCTGGAAAAACTCTGAGGGGGGAGCCGGCTCGTTCGCTATCGGAAGGACTTCTCTCTTAACGCAGCTCATCACTGAGGAAGTTCAACTCTATGCTGCACAACGCAGCCCGATGATGAAAAGAGCAAAGAATAACTCCTGCACAGCTCCTGAGGTGAAAGAAAGTTCAGCAAAGTCTGTGCCGCTGCGAACATAAAAGGCACAGTGGGGGGCGCGTTGGGTTAGATTCTGGGGTTAAAAGTAGCCTTTTGGGCACAAAAACACTAACATACACATTGTTCCGTTTGGGCTGAGATCTGCATGAGCGACTCATTGTGTCGCCGTCCCAGGCGCGATTGTGCAGGAACAATGCAGAGAGCAAACAAACCCGGAGTCCCGGCGGGCTGTGGAAAGCGGGCCCTCTGGGGCCCTCTGGGGCCCTCTGGGCTGCGAGAGGCAGAGGGAGCGGCTTTTGTCACGGCGACGACTCAGAACTTTTGACATGCTCATAGCATGCAGGCCGTAGACGGAGGGATTTGCAGACGTGCTGATGAGGTTGTGATGGGAATCTAGACAAAATCGCGAGTCTACGCAGAAGTGACGATTGGTTAAAATAGTGGCTCTCAAACTGTACGGGGGTGCTGTTATTTTTTAAGAACTTTCCATATAACAAAAGTACACGGACTGCTGTTGCTTCTCACGAGACGAAATACAGATCCAAGCTCAACATTGAGCCTGAATTGAGAAGCCAATCAAGTCTGCAACCCTGTTTTGAAAAGAGGTTTTATGAGTATAAAATCATCCATATCTTCAGGGTTTCATTTTTTGATTATCTTATTATCTTATTAGGTTGATTACAGCCATAATAAACTATTCTCTACCAAATATATGTTATTTCTTGCACAGACAGAACTTTATTTGTATTTTTCTAACAAGATAGTTGTACATTTAATTTGTTTTTGTCTGATGGAGCATCTGGTTTACTTCAAAGTGATTGCATTTTTTCTTTATTCCATTATTTGAAATGGAGGAGTCACAAAATGTTATTTTAACAGAAAAGAAAAAAATCGACATACAAATATATTGGGGCGGGTGGGTCGCGACAGAAAAAGGTTTTAGAAGCTCTGGGTCAAACCAACAATGGGACCAGTGTAACATCATACTACATACATGCTCCATGACCGCGCCCAGCGACTTCACGTAGCGATTTACATGAAGGGCGAGGAAGGGCTGTGTGCAGAAAACGGCAGCGTGATCACTGACCAAAACAAACTGCCTTGTTACAAACCCCGTTTGCTCACACTGCTGGAAACTGCGAGCCGGCCGTGAAACGGCCTGATTGTCAGCAGACCGGCCTGTGAGTGCTGCGGCTCTTTGATACCAGGAGCGGTGGGTTGAAGAAGGGGGGGCCGGCCGAGGGCCACAAAAGCCTTCTGTTTCAGCCTGGGAGTGGGGTTACCTGCTCCGCTCTCTGCTGTGGGGTCTGATTTCACACATATCATGTGCATGCATACGCATGCAGGTCCAAGAGCAAAAATGACTCTCAAACACGCACACACACACACAGCTGGTCCAGGAGTTTGAGGCGTGAAGAGCGTGCATGTGGTTCGTCGGGGGACAAATGAGGTTTGTTTGTCAAGTATTCAGAGCACAACGACGGGACAAAAGCAGCCACATAACCTAAGTCCTGGCTGACAGATACTCATTGTCCTGCGTAGGAAATGACATCGACAAGCTGCCGGGAGATGTTTTCCTGCTAAGTAGGTTTTTTTTTTCTCATTTGTTTATGTGAACTGGGTCTCGTTCTTGGTGGGAAACAGATTGAGCAGCCGGTGTCACAGCTGCAGCACGTCCCCGAGAATGAGGAGTGAAGTTGAAAGGAAAGGGCTGTGAATGTGAAGATCATTATATAAATTGTATGCGCAGTGAGGTGAATCAGATCTACATCTGCCCTGCAGATTGGACGTGTTGACCATTTTTAGAAATCTATGGAAGACAGAGAAAGTATTCAATGAGCAATCGTTAGTAACAGCACGCAGAAGGAAAGTGTGCTCGTGGTTTAGGGAGTGGGAGAGTAAACAAACGGTACATCGACAGGAGGTTAAATGTCCAGTGGCTAGAAGACATCAGACATCTGAGGGAACAAAAGGTTCAAAGATAAATGATCTACAAGAGGCTGAGAAAAAGGTGCCTCCCTGTTCCTCCAAACTCCACAACAATGTTCATCGTTAATAATCTGGGGCCAAACTGTCAGGAGCACTACCTTTCTCTAAGCACAGGGAAACAGTTTCTGATGAATGTCGTGAAGTAATAAACTACCACCCAGGACAGATCACCATTAAGTTCTAATAGGAAGTACAACACAGTAAATACTCAAATAAATGCAGTAAAGCGTAGCAACAGTAATTCAACACTGTCAAATAACTAAATCACAATATAAATGTAGGACGACAATACTAAATAACCACGTTTAGCCTAGAACATTTCATCAACGTCCATGTTGGTTAGTTCTTAATTGTTAGCGGTGTTCTTGAGGTATGAACCACGCGTCCTCATGGCCGCTAAAGGGCAGTAACGAGAGGTCACATATGTTTAGCGGCATATCTTGGGACGCCAATTACTCCAATATCCAATCATTTAAATATTCTAATCTTTCATTTGGGTGTTTGTTTTTCCTCGTTATTACAATTAAAATTCTATCCCAGCAGGAAAAGCCCAGGAGTAAATCACAGTACACAACAAATGGGAAAGACGCACTGTAGTGTTAAAATGGACCACTTTACTCTTGCACAACACATCCAGCACGTATTTAATATCAAAAATAAAATTGCCTTCTTTGGAGCACATTTTGTCACAATTGTGCTGCTTTTCCAGAGAAACCCAAAACCAACGTACACAAGTTCGGAGATGAATTTCAAATTGTTCAGAAGATTTGTTCAGCAGAACACGCGTTGAGTTAATGTTTTGGTTTGTATGTAGTTTCCTCTTCCTGACGAGACGGATGCTCGTCACAGTAAAACACGAAACAGTGCAGCAGTCGGTGGATTAAGTCAAGAGTTGCTGACAGAAAAAGGTCCAAGAGAAGCAGGAACCGTGCATAGCCATATGTGAAGAAAACAAAAAACAGTTACACAGCCAAACCGAAGAACTACAAAATTAATGTTTATTGAACACAGTTGTAGATTCACAGCAGGTTTGGGGCGATTTTTTCAAAAAAATCATGTCATAACCCCAAGAAACCGCTTTCTATCCTAAATTAGTGCATTTTAAATATACATTTTTTAATGAATTATCTTGAACATAAATAGCGTCATTATTGCTCATTAGAAAAACCAACATATTCGCAAAGTACAACTCTCACAAACTGGCATTGTAATCTACAACAAAGCATTTTATTGACTAATAGAGCTAAAGCGATGGCAAAACGAAAGGTTAGCAACTTAATTTACTATAATCCAAAAATCAGCTTTTCAGAGCTTTGCCGCATTTCAAATTATTCTAGGTAAGAGGTAACGTCTTGATAACAAATCTATTGCACAAAGAAACCGGGTTCCAATTAACACTTTTCATCAAACAAGTCATACATGTACGTGGGAGACATTAAGTCCAAATAAAACACGGCCAAAGAAGGCTTGTTTAGTGAATATTTACAATTTGTAAGCTTTTCGCTTATTACAACTTTATGTATTTCAAATGTCCCTCATTCATTCATTGGCTCCGTTTGTCTGAGGCGTCTGAATGTGGTCGCCAGTGACTTCATCCCCAGGCTCCTCTACTTCCCCATCCTGAGAGAGACGGAACAAAACAAAACGGTGAATACATCTCCTTTCCCACCCGTACTCCTTCACGTTAGTCCGGTTTAGTTTTGTCTCTCACTTTTATATAAAAACTCACATCCCTTTCAACACGGCACCAGTCTGAATTGAAAGATTGCAGCAGCACAAGGTGAAGTATGCAGATTCCAAATGTCTCGTAACCCCTAAGACGGGTTGGACAGTGACGTCTATAATGTGAATCCCTGATATTAAATGTGCATCGGCTGAATTCTGTCACGATCCCGCTAATCTCTCTTCCTTAAGAGTTCTGGAGTTCCATATAACAGGACAAAAATAGAATATCTTGTAACACTTGCATTTAACTGGCAATACTTGAACACAATTAGGTAGAACTTCTGCTTTCTGCTTATTTTACTTTTCTAATTTTATTTACCTTTATCAGAAGATTTAGAATATGACAGAAATCCTTTGCATTGTGTACGTAACGGTCATGTTTGTGCTGGTTTAAAACAAATCTCTTGAAACCCGTTTAGTTTAAGCTCCCCGTGTGGAAAGATGTTTGCAGCAGTCAGAAGCCACAAACTCAACTGCTTGCTGAAGAATTGTGAGTCAGAGCGCTCTGCTGGACTTGCGATGCCACTACAGCAGTTCAAAAACTACTCTTCCTTTTATAGCTACCAGCTGCTTTCGCTCTAGACCATAAATATCACAGAACCACACAGCTCCATCTGCAAAGGTGAGTTCACACTAAGTCAACAGTATGTTGGAATAATACAATTCTATCACACTACAGTTAAGGTTCTTTCTATCTTTTCTGTTAATGTTGCACCTTCTTCATCACTGCCAGCAGCTCCTTGACGCTGGAGGTCAAGGAGCTGGACGTCTTGCTGATCTGCTCGAGGTAGATGTTCTTCTGCGCGTCAGTGGCCTTGAGAGTCTGCTCCGTGTGGCTCAGGGTGCTTTTCACCTCCTCCAGCTCCTTGGACAAGGCTTTGTTAGTTTCCTCCACCTGAGCTTTAATCTTTGAATCTTCATCTGGTCACAACACAAGAGTCAGATGGAAGATTAGAAAGAAGATTAAGCACAGTGGTCATCAACCAGCCAAAGTACTTAAATTAAATAGCACTTGAGAAACAATGGTTTGCAAGTCATTTCCTGCTTTGGCGATAGTTTCTACTTTGTACGTGGCAGTTGTTAATAATGTGCTAGTCCACATTTCAGAAAATCCCAGAAATTAGAATACTGAACGAAGTGAAACTGGGCGTCTTTGTAGCAGAACTCAAATTGAGCCAGAGCATTGTCCAGAGGGACTTCTGACACAGAGTGTAGCTTGCGTCTCAATGTGAAATACATTTCCAAATATAGCATACACGGTATAAAACAATTCAAATCATACCCATTTTGGCATCCTGCACCATGAGCTTCTGTTCTATTTCCTCTCTTGCTTTCTCACTCTTCTCCAGTTTCTGCATCATGCTGCCAATGTCAACCATGGCTCCGTTATACACGATCAGATTTCCGGACTCACTGGCCTCTGACTGCGCACAAGCTTTAGAAGCGGGAAGTAGTCCTCGGTTACCTGATGGAGAAAATCATTTCATGAGAAGGAAAACTCCCCATAGCAGCGCTCTATCTATATAGCAGCTTGACAAACTATGACAAAAATGTTGCATCATTGAAACGCAATAGAAACACTTACCTATGAGGTTTTCAATATAAGCTTCATTGAAGAAAGGAATAGGCTCATCTTTCCCCCTGTCAGTCAGTTTACGGTAGTAACAGGACTCTCTGACCACCGGCTTGTTTAACAGCTTCTTTATCTGCAGACATATGCGACGGGCAGTGAGTGACTAAGACCAGAGACAGAGTAGCCTCAATGCGCGGATCCAGAAACCAACTGTAACAAAGATTAGGTCTGCGTATGTGATCACCTGAGCGCGAGAAAGGTGCAGTCCCAGAGTGTACAAGATCTCCTCCAGGTCTCTCTCCAGCAAATAGCCACAGTGGCTTTGGTCAAAGTAGACAAAGGCCATCAGCAGCTCCCGGTTGTGTGTGACCATCTGCTTCTTCTCCTGGTGTGACAACGACAGACTCGTCTATAGCGTACGACAGGATTATGGTAAATCAGTCCCTTCGTAATAAGCCTGAATAAAAAAATGTATGTTGATGATTATCGGTAAACCCTTAAGCAGAACTGAGAATGTTGAAAGATGAATGCAATCAGTTACTTAAACCGGCATTCTGCCGCCTGGTGGCCAGGAGGGAGAATGCCGGTTTAACAAACTCAAACAATTGGCTTTACATCGTAACACGAGGTTGCTGCCTGCCACAGAGTTGTTGTCAAACCCTCTTCATTGTAAGCAGATCCAAGAACTGTGTGTTGACGGACAATAAAAGTGCACAGAAAGTACTACAATCACAGCTACACCGTTACCATTGACTACTACAGACATCTTCACATCGGTCAGTCATTCGTCAAATATAAATAATACATTCTATCACAATACAACATTGACCAACCTTGTCTTTAGAGGACCTCTCTTTGGACGACTTGCGGTCGTCCTTACGGTCTTTCCTGTCCCTGTCATTGGAGTCGTCATCATTATTGTCTGTGGAATATGGAAATAGATAGTTGGAAAGTGGCTCAACGAGGTGGAACAAGTGACATCCATCTTGTAATTTATTATTAATAAGTGTGGCAGTAAATATATAAAAAAAGAGACAACATTGTATTATTCCACTGAAGGCCTCAGAACTTTTGCAAGTGTTATCCATCACAGCTTCAGCGTGGTGCATGGTTTGTCATCATGGGCCAAATTACATTGAAGAGTTGGGTTTAAAGAAAAAGTGCAGTACCATCATCATCGTCATCCTCTGCCTCTTCAGCCTCCATGGGGTCATATTCCTCAGCATTGGCCGTGCTGCAATCATCTTCATTCTCCTCTTCATCTTTAGACGACTCCTTTTTCACCGACTTCTCATCGCACTGAAAGCACAATTCATACAAATGATGTAAATGTAAATGTCTGTAAAACAGATTGAGAAGCAGGTTTGAGAGGCTTGAAAAAGGCTTGCCTTCTTCTTTTCGTCCTCATCTTCTTTAATCTTCTTTACTACTGGACCCTCCGTCTCATCTTCTTTTTCCTTTTTTATTTCACGCTTCTCCATCTCCTTTTTGACTTTCTTCTCCTTTTCCTTCTTGTCATCTTTGTTTGGAAAAGCAGCCAGGACTTTATATATGCGGTAGCCAAAATCTCTCTGCAGCATCTCGTTAAACAGCTCGGCGAATAAGGAAACCTGGACAGAAAAAGAGGGCAGTTCACAGTCAACCTCAATAGAGTCACTTAACATTCAATTGTTTTTCATACACGCTTATGTCTAACACAGTATTGAAACTGTGACCGTGACGCTCACCTCAAAGGAGTGCTCCTTGTTGTCCTCCAGTCTGTAGTCCAACAGCACACTCAGGGACATTACACTGCAGTCAAACTTGCCGTTCTTGGCGGCCCAGTTTGGGTGCACGATGATGGTGGGCTCATCAGGGAGAATGTAGCGTCTCTCTCTCCGCTGGCGCTCAAGCTCCTCCTGCTTTTTCTTCTCCTCCTCCTAACAGAGAAGAATAATTCAGTTAGAAGAGCAATTGCAACTGGTTGAATATCAGCCTTTTTATATTCTTTAACACTGAAAAGACTGAAGAAAAAATGACCAAATGAACTGCACAGCAGTTTTTAACATATGGACACGTCCATGTTCCTGGTCCCACAATAACAAAGACATAACGTATGTAATGAACTTCTCTGTACCTCTCGGTCTTCTTCAGTGCGAGATGGCTGCTCCTCCTCAGCAACCTTTATCTCGGGTTTCTCCGGCTCCTTAGACTCCTCCACCTGCTCCTCCACCTTCAGCTGCTTGGTAAGACGGGCAATCAGCTGCGACTTTAACCCCTTGGAACTTAGAGAGCGACAATCGAGCTCTTTGCGCAGGTCATTAACCTACATGGGGAGAAATCAAGGACAAGGGATACGTTCTAAAGTGGTAATCCTTATATTTCTCGATGCACAATATATACAAATTATCATGGTATAGTCTGAAGAAGTTCTAATAAGCTCATTCCATGTCTGTTTTCATAGGTCTATCTGTGCTGAGGCTTTGTCCTTGAATCTTACCTTCATTGACTTGGGGTCAAGTTTAGCCCAGTGGGTGGGAATACTAACGTCCTTTGATTCATCGTCGTCCTTCTCCTCCTCCTCCTTGACGGGAAATCATTAAGATAGAGACAGGCAGAGACAGAAAGAGGGAGGCGGGACAGCAAACAGTCAGTACACAGTTCGTGGCCGGAGTGAGCTTTTAAGTTGATCCGTGCAAGAATCAAGGTAATCTGTCTCTCATTGTCTCGGCCTAGTGAGCTCTCGACTGTGTTTAAGTCCAATGCTACTGAAGCGTACACAGGGAAGCTCTCTAGCTCTTATAAAAACCAACAGAAATGCCCACCAGCAGCCAATCAATCAATCTGTGGAACACAAAAAAAAGGTAAAAAATCAATGAGAGGCGTGTCGGTACATCAGGGTGAACTGAAGCTGGTCTCCAAACGGAGTGAGGATAGGGAGGCCCTATCATGGTCTATGACTGGGGTACTGGTCATTTATGAGTTTTATACACCTACGTCAGAGAGGAGCCATGTGTCCAACCCACTGCCCTGGAAAACCAAAGTCTACATATAGTCCAAATGAGAAGGTAAAATCCAAGCAGACAGAACAGCACTTTAGGGAGGTTCTTTTTTGGAAATCACACAATATTGATGTAGAAAATCGTATGCAAATACACATCTCTACAAAACACACGGCATGTACACACAACTGACTCCACAGATTCCAGCATAAAGAAATATTTTAGATCCCAGTGGCACAAAATCACAACCAGGTCAAATTTAAGCAAAAAGATTGTTGTTAAACAAATTTTGCAAGCACCCACGTACAAAACAGGTTAAGCAAGTAATGTTTTAAATAATGCACAACAAAATACGAGGATTAGCCCGAAGGATTGGCACCCAATTATGGGACGTTTGAGAAGCTGGAAGCTGTTTTATCAGTTGTGATCAGGGCCTACACAACACAACCTAGTCTCACTGCTTCCACTGTATGTGTCTGCTGGATGTGAGGGAAGGTGGATGTGCTGATGGAGGAATTGTAGGCAGAGGAGAAGGGACATGGTGGAGGAGTAAACAGAAGACGCCTAGGTGGGGTTTGGTGGAACAATAATCTGCTTGTGTGTGTGTCTGCGTGCATGGTGCGGTGTGCATTGTGTCTGATGTGTGTCTGGGGTTTGTTTTGTTTTGTAATTCCTGTGCCTTCCTGTGAGAAGCGGAAATGAGAAGAGAGGGATTAGCGGTTCAGTGCCTGTTCTCCATCCGCCTCCTTTCGCTCGGCCGACAGCTTCTCGGCCAGCTGCTCCCGAAGACGCCGTGACAGCACCTCCCACTCTGAGCGGGTGGGAAGACAATGCCAAACATCCGGAAGAAACAAAACCACTGTCTCCACATGAGCAGGGACTGTCCGCCCCTTGTGTGTCTCCTCCGGCCGATGATAGCGAATCTCTGCAAAACGATACCTGTCGCAAAGGAAGAAGGTGCATTGGAAAGAAACACTTTGGTCAGGGCACAGTATAAAAGGCACGCCTTGCTAAGGCGAGCCTTCTACAGCTACCCCCTCCCATCAGCTCACTGAATGATAGCACAGATCATTGCATTGAGCCTTTTCCCACACAACACCATACAGACAACTGGACCCAGTCTGCAGCTCTCCAACTGTTGTCACAGGTTACGGCAGCCAGTTTGAGAAAGTCAACGGACATTCACACGAAATAGATCACATCCCCAAATTCACCCCCATTATAACTTCAGCCAATTATGGATGAGTGTTCTGCATTTAACCTCGGATACACTTAACGCACTAAATTAGTGTTGTGCAGAGAGACAGAATCAACAGGACAGTGACAGCCAGTTAAATATGTAAGATATTTAACAGGAAGAATAAATAAATGAGAATTTAAAAAAAAACAAAAAAAACGTAATGGTAGTGTCTCCTGGTCCAGGTTGCCGTTTTCAGCCACAGTCCATGCGTAAGGTTTTTCATCAAAATGAAATAAGCATATAATGTTTATATTTAAAATTATGACAGAAGGTGAGAGCCAAGACGACAACACACAAAAAGAACACTGCACGGGACAATAAATAATGTTAAATAAAAAAGGCAGTAAATTAATAATACATTAATCATTAAGGAAACACAAAAGCACTGCATCATCACGTGTCCAGGACGACAATTTGTATAGAAGTAGTGAAGTTGGCAGCATATTACAGTAATTCAATTTGAGATTTTAGTACCAGGTATAACACAATTAATAGTAAAACCAAGTATCAGTTAGAATAACAGCTCTTACCACTGAGTGCACAGACTAAGATCTATGCCTGTGAGTGCCTTGCAACAGCGTATAGCTGTCTTTATAAGGACCGAGGGATCTTTCTCTGGGTCAGCTCCATCCAGAGAGGGAGACCAGTGACCACCAATGGCCATAGCCTCATCTTTACCTCTCATGCCCACCAAAAACTAAAAGGAGAAAGACAGACGGGTACAAAAGGAGAGCCACAGAGTAGAATAGGTTAGATGTAAATTGGGAATGGCAGAATTGATGGAACACCCAAATGTCAGCAGCATGTCCAATTAATTGTACGCCTGAGGATCCACGGCCAACAGACCAAAACAACACGCATAGGAGTAAACTTCAAGCAGGACGCTTCTGCACAATATTGTCTGCGCATGTGCAAGGCAGAAGCCTGGAGAACGTGTGGCGTACCTTGATGAGTCTTGCAGGATGCTGGAAGGAGTCTTTGACTTCCTGGGAGTCCTCTGCCAGAGCACAGGACTTGTGATAGAGCTCCTCTATACTCGGGTTAGCCAGAAGCATCACCTGCATTTTAAATAGAGACCACAGTACAGTTATTAATCCTGGCCACAAACATACACTGGTGTGATGAATTTATTTATTCATTAGCAGGCGTACCTTAGCACTGTAGGTGTGGTTGGCATCAGGAGGGTCCAGCACAGCCGTATTCTTGACTAGAGGATCTACCTCTTTGTGTAAAATGTGGAAGTTGCAGGCGTTGTTGAGCCCAAAAGGTCTTGTGAGAGGAAAGGCATCCACCCAGGTGAAGACGGCATTGAAGAAGTCGCTGGGAATGTAGAGGCTCTGGTAGCGCCTTCTCAGCTCCATCATGTCACAGTTGGAGCTGCAGAGCCCGCAGAGAACAGTTAAGATAGTTACCCAAAAACTAGGACACACGCTTGACTGCCAGGGGATTGGGATAATTTAATTTACACTTGGGGGTATTTGGTAGTAAGAGTACTTGGTAAGTATGTTTTGCAGCAGCTTACCAGTAGCAGTTACATAACACGCCTGAGAGTGGTTTTGAGTCACTAGTTTGCCTGCAATTTAGTTTTTCACAGAGGATGATGGGGGTATAAGGGAATGCATAAAGATTCCCAATATTGGAGCACATTGAATGATGCTTAAGTGAATCTGGCTTCTTGTGAACACCCAACTGGTGCCATTCTGGACTGGAAAAGGTTGACTACCACGAGACTATCACACCACTGACACGTTGACATACAGCCAAATGACACTTATGTAACCCATTTCAGAAAAACAGACAGCGTGACGCACTGTAAAGCTTATGCTCACCCATCTAAGCTGAATTTGGAAAACTGGACGGTGTAGCGAGGTACCACCCTGCGAGGCCGGCGAGGTGAGCGGTCCCGCCTGGGAGAGCGTTCTCTGGAGCGTTTGCGTGTAGGCGAGCGTTCTCTTGACCGCCTGCGCTCACGATCTCTGTCTCGACTAAAGAATTGAAGAGTACAAGACGCCAAGATGAATAACTTGTGCTGAAGGTAACGTTTAGACAAACATCGGAGTATCTGAAGTGATATCTATCAGATTCTCACCTGCGTTCCTCTTTTGTCCTGAGGATGAGCTCGGGGCCTCGGTCATTTCGACTGGGGAAACGAGGCGGAGGCTCAATACGCCGTACAGGCTGCGGCTGTGGCATGAGCCTCACAGGGGGTTGAAGCAGACCCCCTTGAAACACATCTAAAAAACAGGGAAATGATGCCTGTTTAATCACTTACCATACATAAGATAGCTTTCTTCAGATGGACCAAAATAACTCCAAAGATACTAGCGACAATTTGTATTTGTACAAAATTAGATTAGTACTCTCTCAAAACGAGTATTTCACCTTTGGGCAGAGGCTGTGGTAGCAGAGGCTGAGGAGGGTTCTGGAGGAGAGGGGCCAGAGAGACAGCAGACAGCTGGGCCTGCAGGAGGGACGGAGGGGGAGCCTGGGTTGGAACACTGAATGTGGTTGGGGGAGGAAGCGACTGCATCATGGAAGGTGCTGCCTTCATCATGTTAGGAGGTGGAGGGTGGCTCTAGGAAAAGGAGAGTTAAGCGCAAGATCAAAAGAATTTCAGTTAGAATGTCAGTGACTGAGTAACAAGAAAGAAGATGTACTACACAATATGTTCACTGGCTGCATGAAAGAAAAAAGGAAATTGTGGGTTGATATAAGTAAGGCACAGATTTAATTGGTACCGGTTTCAGGGGTACTTCAAACATTTATCCAAGGATTACTTTACAGTATAAACAGTAATATAATCCAACACAACCTCTTAATTTATACTTTTCTGACATCCACATTGTCCCCTGTAGAGAGATTAGCTGATTTAAATGTGAGAGTACCTCTGGAACTAAAGTAACAGTTCAAGGGACATAATTTTGTTTTCAAAAGATAATGTTCATATGATCTGGGTAAAAAGGTTGTAGTGTACTGCACAATGAAGCAGTAGTATCAAAGCAGTGTCTCTGTAAGGTGAATTCATGTTCGGGTAATTCTATTTGGCAATGAGGGCAAAGTAAAAGAAGAAGCAAAAACTGCAGTTGAGAATAGATACAACTGTGGTCATATTTTAACATGAATAGGTTAAGCAAGTGTCAGGAAACAAAAAAAGACCCAAAAAAAGTTAAAGAAAGAAACTGAGCAGGGAGAAGGTCCAAAAAAGGGTGGGATTCTGAGGTAGGGGGTTACATTTAGTCTGTTGTCCAAAGCGGAGTGCATGTCAGAGTACCGCAGCTGCATCCCTTGCTCACTGTAAAGGCTGCCAAGCTGTGGAGAAGCTTGAGGTAAAGGCTGCTGCTGATGCTAGGAGGGAATGAGAACACAACAGTCAATTAAAGACGCCGAGGCATGGATATCAAACCTGAGAAAAATATACATTAGGATTCTCATAATGAATGACTAAGCCAGATGCATTGTCTGGGATTTAACGTGAACCTGTGGATCTCACCTTTGGATATCATTTAAACATACATTTGTAATTTTCACTATTTCGCTTCTGTCACTAAAAGGAACAGCAACAGTTTCAGAAAGTCAGAAAAATATTTATCAGGACTCATTTTACAATTTTGGAAAAACTGTACCCTTAAACTGTATTAAAAAAGTAACTGTGAATACAGTTATCAAACAAAGTTTGTCTTTTGATTGTGTTTATACTAATAACAGCATTCCAATTGGGAATGTATGTTCAAGCAATAAATCCCCAGTTTGTGTAAATGTACCAAACCACGTTGTCTGCTCCTTGCTGAGGAACAGTACAACCTCTGAGTTGTTCTTACCGACTGGTTTGCTAGCTGAGGTAAGGTCTGGATGCGCTGGGCGTTCCACTTGAAGGGCATGTTGGGGTTGTACACAGCTTCCACTAGGACCCTGTCACCCACCTGAGGAGTTTTGCCCTTTACAGCACTGAATAGATGCCCCCCACCCCAAAAAAACATGCATTGTAAGCTTTATGTATACAAAAGGAGACAGGCATTTCACATTGCATTCCACCAACATATGTATATGCACAGGCAAAATGGTTTGAAAGGCACTATTTTACCTAAGCTGAAAGAAGACATCTTCATCTACAAAGCCAAATGTGTCATGTAACTTGTTGACGACACCAGTGAAGACTCGCTGCTTCTGTGGCTGCGTCTGCTGTTGATGACTTGAACGTGGTGTTGGGTAGGAAACAGTAATCTGCGCTGTCTGCTGGGGGTTGGACAAACTTAGGCTGGTGGGCAGGGCGACGGGGGGCTGAGGAAAAAGAAGACAGGATAAATATATTTTAAAAATGCTACTTTGATGGCATGTGAATCAACAAGTACGAGGACCACTTAAAAGAGTATTTTAATAGCATGTAAAAACTTGACTTTCTCTAATAATACATACAAAACAGCATGATAGCCCATATCAATCAAAAAGAAAAAAATGGTTTGATCTAGTTTGCTGTGGAAATGTTTAGAATGCTAAAGATGTAAACAGATTGTAAACTAATTCAGACATGCATGTCTGAGCTTTTGTTTTTTTAAATTCTTCTACACCTTCCTTATTGCACAAGGTATAATGGGATGGACTCCATTCCCATGATATGCATGTATGAAAGGATATACATATGTGTTGATGCACATTACCTGAGAAAGCAGCGCCTGTTGAGGCTGGGGAAGCTGTAAAGAAAGAATGAACAGAATATAGACATTAGAGTTCTGTACAGCTCATGGTTGTATGTCTAATAGGGAATTCTGTCAGTGGACCAAAAAGAAGGACAAACAAACAAAAACACAGGAAAAAGATGAGATTCCAGGAGTCCATCTACATCCTATTCAAAGGAGTAGTAAAGGGGATTTTACCCACAGATCACATTGTAGTGTTAATTAAAGTATTGTTTTATGACATTGAAATTACCAGTGCGTGGGATTTAGTAGCAATGGTGAGGTTTCAAATTGCAACCACATGAATACCTCATCCCCCATACCTCAATTTTCAACTATGGCGGCCTTAGAACTAAAATTACCACGTCATGTATGTCATCTAGTCAAAACTCACCAAAATCTTTTACATTGCGAGTATGAGCAGAGGACCATCAAAATTAAATATGAGATGAAACAAAAGCAGCCTGTTTCACCTGATGTGGTACATTGTACAGTTGCTGCGGAGGGGGTTGCTGCTGCTGCTGTTGTTGTTGTTGTTGCTGCTGCTGCTGCTGGTGCTGCTGTTGTTGTTGTTGTTGCTGCTGCTGCTGTTGCTGGTGCTGCTGCTGTTGTTGATGTTGTTGTTGCTGATACTGCTGGAGCGCTGTATTGAGCTGAGACTATATATGATACATATAACATAGTAGAGTTAATAGTTAATTAACGCTATACATGTGACAGCGGCAAGAAGGATTGATTGCTTAGTGTGCTTCGGTCTTCATAGCTGTGACCGACCTGCTGTAGTGCTGCTGCGGCAGCTGCTGCAGCCTGCTGCTGCAAGGCGGCATTTTGCTGAGACAGCTGATAGTTTGCAGCAGATTGGTTGCTGAGAGAGGCGGCAGCCAAGGCCGACTGTTGAGAATAGACAGACGGGGATGCTCCAAGTAGTGATGGCTGCTGCACACCAAGAGCTGCAAATAGGTAAAATAAGGCCTGCCATTTAGAGAGGTGTTGACACCCAAATGAATGGGTAATGTTGGTGTAGAAAGGGACGGGGCAGGCGATATGACAACAAAAATAAAGACTGTAAATAAAAAGGCATACGTCATTTTCTGTGTAACCAGGAGGGAGGGAATAAGACTGGCCCCTGGTTTGCTACACTCACAATGCAGGCTATTGAGGTCAAGGGTCGGTACGGAGTGGCCTTGCTGGGACACCGAAGTGGCAGCAAATTGAGTCGCCCACGGCGGGTTCTTCTGTCCCCCAAATTGGGCCATGACTCACTGGCGTAAAAGGCAGTCTCTTTACACCAGGCCAATGCTTGTCACTAGATTGAAGACCAAAGAAAAGTGGAATATTAGTATGAAGAAATTTTGATAAGACAAATAGTGAAACACATTTGTCCAGTTGTCTTTAACTAACTTAAACTGGATCCCCACAACGCAGTGCAAGACAAAAAGTATATTAATCCCAATAAATTGGATTAAGATAACGTGTCAATCTTTACTTTGTAATGTGGCAACTTTACACAAGGAGACGTGTGCGTAAGCGGTACATGAATCCAGCCAGTCCTCAACGAGGACTTTAAGTTAACGTTACGTTCCATTTAGCATCATGTGTTGATGAGAAGAATTGGACAAAGACATAACACGTTGCATTAAATATGAAAGAAACGGCTATTTTGTGGTTTGCATCGAGTGGACGAGCCAAAACCCCGAACGATAGTCTCTACAATTGTTTAACAACATGTTAACGCCAGCAGCCTGAAATGAGCAATTAAAGGGGGCGATGTGGTGTCAAGTTGGTTTAGTTAGCTAGTAACGTTTCTTAGTCATTTACGTGTTTTGAATACGTTACGCTATCAAAACATGCTCACGTTAACCTTGGTTTCAGCATTGCTCCGCAGATTAGTAACTGCTTACACAGCAACCTCAATAGGCTCAACCGCAGTTAGGCTAACGTTAGCCACAAACTGACAGTGGGCTAGCACATGCAGCTAACAAGTTAACGTCTAATGTCCATCTACCCATCTATTGCCGTTACTGTTGTGGTACACGGACTAGCGTTAACTAAACACATGTATTTCATTCAATATAGTGCATTTACTATGGCTTGTTCAACACTGGTATATTTAAACACAGCACAGCTACTATAAGAAAGATATAACGCGAGTAGCTATAGATAGCTAACGCTAGCTAGCTAACGCTTAGCATTCGGACGTTGTTAGCTTTGTTGCAAGATTAGCCTCGTGCTGGATTTGTTTTCGAAAACGAGGCCCGAATTAACGTTCGTTGTCCGTCAGTAGCTGGTAAATAGCCAGTGTTTAAACAATACAAATGCAACTCATCTCTTGAACACTATTAACAATTGCACTTGAAATACTCACAACAAACAACGTAAAGGGTTTTATTAAAATATTGTCAACAGATTTGGCTTACCGTTGTCCTGCACCGGCTAACGTAGACATGAACTGCGCATGCGCGGATGGACAAACGGCTGCCCTCGGCATTTCAGACTTACTGAATAAGGTTGTGGTTCATTTGTATTATCGATTAAGTTGTTGTTGTCCCTAGGTGGGCATGCTTCTCTCAACTAACTATATTTTGTTCCTGTAACATTATTTTATTTTTTCTATGCCCACGTGCGATATGTCAGGAGTCAACTGGAGGAACAATAACCAATTCTGATGAAAAAAGACATATCAAATAATGGCTTTCATACTGTGAACTTTGCTTGAAACTAACACAGTACATTAAAGAATGGAGGACAAAGCACACATCACACAGGTTTTGTCAGCAGTTAGACAGCAATTACCCATTAGAGGAATAATTAAAGCCCAATTACATTTTATTCAATTTCTAGATGACGCATTAACAAGCAAAATGGTTCCTTTATGTTTTGTCAGTAAGTAAAATGGCATCAACGGGACAACCTCATTAAACCTTCATTCTGCATGGCCATAACCAATGTCAAATTGTTTACAATATTTCCATCTTAAGAAAATATTTTTTCAAAGTATAAATATTTATAGGAATAAATACTTCACAACATTCATAGTCACCATCACAAAACATTTTGACTTGTTAGAAGAATGACTGTATATACTTTGATCATAGGTATGTAACTCCATTTCTTAATGACAGTAGCATTTAGTACACATTACAGCGTGAACTCTTTACAGTATATAATATGCACACAAAATAGCACATCTCTATTTATCCTCTCTTACGATTGTACAATAGTAATTGGTGAAAATTATTGGCTGTGTTTTTACACAGAGGAATATAAAGTTATGTCTTTTTATTTATTTTTGTAATTTCCGTTCCAGCTCTGAGAAAACCGTTGCATTGACTTCATCCACTTCATCTTCCACCTGGGCAAAATAAACATTGGACAGCTTTGATTAAAACTTGTAAAACTTGTGCAAATGCAAGTCATTTAACATCTACTGCATTGCTCAGTTGTTAATTAGAATGGGATCACATCATAATTTCCTGCATATGACAATTTAAATATTGATGCAGAAACGTCTTAAAACCACGCTGTCATGAAAACAATTTCAAATCTCGGTTTCAAAATAAAAGCTCTGCACAAATCTCTGCTTATCTACAAAAACTGGTTAGTCACCTGTTCCACGTTGCTCACTTCTGGCACATAAAACTGCAACATGTTCTGAATGCCGTTCTTCAGGGTAACTGTAGAACTGGGACACCCTGTGCAAGAACCAACCAGCTTCAGCTTGACTGTGCCTCCTTCAAACCCCTTATAGATGACATCCCCTCCATCCTCCTGCACTGTAGGTCTTGTGAGTAAAAGAGACAACATTCCTTTGTTAGGAACAAAGAAGCCAAAAGGACAGAGATTAAAAAATGTTATCTTAGCATGACTGTTTACTACACTGTGGTCATCATTGTAAGGCGTACTCTGTAAAGAAATATCAGAGAAAAACGTTGCCCTTGTTCAAGCCGGTTATCAATATGTGCCTTGGGTGTGGATGCACCTAAATTGCATTGAGGACGCAAAGAGGTCTGATAGCTTAGACCACATTGTTACTGGTCTGGGACAAATATTCTCAAATGCTCATAGCCGTGTAAAATGAATGTGTAGGCGGCAACATTGAATGGCTGCCGACTTAAAACGAGTGCGTTACACAAGAATGAGATCCACATTAGCTGTAGCTGAGGGTTACGTTGAGCCCTTATATGTATTAATGGCCTGTCTGCGATTTGTCTTGTGTTTTTGTCAAGTTGCTCTGCAGAGAAGTGACACCTGCCTTCCTTCATTCGCCTTTGCTGAGCAAAAGCAGAACTACACCGGACAATACCATTATGTTTTTAGGTTCATAAAATGGGCAAATATGTATATTACTACTCCTACTCCTCCGAAGCTTAAAAACAACAACCCAATAAGAATAAATAAAGTAAGAGGTATAGAAGAATAAAAGATCCGCAACGTTAATTGGCAAAGGTCTCAGATGATCGCCTGAAGCACTGAGTTTTGATATTAGACCTGTGGTTATTTCTTTTGTACCTGATTCTGGTATCCAGAAGTTCCTTTATCATAGAGACAATATCATCATCATCTTCAGAATGACCTAAAATAAGGAAAATGTACAGAGTGGATATTCCCACAGTATACAGTTCTATGTGACTTTTGCAGGGACATTTGCACACTCACTGCTTTCATTGTGCACCGCCCCCATTGTTATCGGGTCACCGCTCTCAAAGAAGTTAGCAATAGCCTCCAAAGCATGGCGCTTAATGTCTGTCCATTCCACGTCCTCATCTATCTGACAGGAAAACAGAGATTGCGCTTGTTGATTCTCCACAAAGATTTCATAGAAGCAGATTTAAAGACACAAGCCAACATGTTGCTTGAATTTAATACTTACTTTAGTGACTGTGATGAAGTCAGGACCATAGAACACACTCTTTACTCCTTCAATTTCAAACAGGTCCCTGAAAGAGACACGTTATCATGTTAGTGATGAAGAAAACGTGAAAAACATACAGGGGATTCATTCATGCTGGTTCATTTGGTGATAAGGACTTCCCCTTGTGCTGGCTTTTATCTACAGTGTCACAAAAGATAAGACAAAGGGTTTCAGCGAACAAAATACATCCAATTCTTTCAAGGAGTCAGAAAGCAAATACTGTATGTACTATTCTACCAAACTCATCACTGTCAGGAATAAACAAACAACCACAAACCGCTTGATGCAGATAATAGCCGTCAAACTATTATTAAAAAAACACACATCATTTCAACTCTTAAACACAATTTATTAAACCAAAATAAAAGTCCCTTCACCGGAAACAATGAACAAAAGCAAATATAAATGTATTAGTTACGAGTGTGCAGCTTTTGAAAAGATGTCTGCGTGCTTTACCGTAGGGAGGATATGAGTTTCCGGAGTTTGTTATTTATTACAACATGATTTCTTAACATAAGAAACACAAACTCAGTGTGCAAACACAGACAATTCAATCGCGCCCTGGTGCTTCAGTCCCAAGAAGGTGATTGTGATTTCTACCCTTTGAATCTACACCACAGCGCAATGCAAAAGTACAAGCATGAAGTTGGCACACAACCTGGCTAAAGGTGAACATCCAGCCGAGCTCGCAGTGGGAAAGTCAAGCGTGCCACTTCCTAGGACAGGTTTACCCGGGAGGAACTTCAAGCTTCTGGGGTTTGGAGTGTCTTGAGTCTGGATGGACAGCTGTCTTACTGAAAGATATAAGAAAAAAGAACAATACTCTTTTTATTTTTAAGTTGTGTATGTTTGTTTTCCTCTTGGTTTTATTGAGCAATATGTTAGCAAAAAGACGAGTGAGTGGGTTGTATTTAGGTGTCCACGCAATGGTTTCTCACTCGAGAAGCGAGGGGTTCCTTTCCCGGACAGAGGGACTTTGCAGAAGACCTGGGCCGAGCACTGTGACTGGTATGAGCTTCTGGTCTTCACCGGGCACCTTGCAACGTAAAGAATAGTTGTTTGTCAACTTAAGACTGAAGCGAATTCATTTTGATTTGATTAGTTTGGGTGTCTGTAACAGTTACACGCCGAGCCAGTTGTTTGGTGTTTTGATGTAACGTTACAAGTCCACAAAGTGGTAACAGCTGATAAGCCTCCGGTCCAAGCCGGCTAACGTTAGCGGCTAACTCACATGCGTGTGACCTGGAAAGACACGTGTGAAATCAAAGAAGACAAAGACAGAGTAATCACGGCAACTGTGTCGATACCTATGCCTCTCAAAGTAAATGGAAGAGACCGACAAACCGTTTACGTGTCGCAGTTTTTTTTTAAACATATCCTTAGCTTAGCTAGCTATAGTATAATAGCAAACGCCCCTCGGCATGTCCCGTTTATATTTAGGAAAAGCATTGTGACGTATTATATCAGAAGTACAAGGTGTGTGTATGAACGATATGAAAGGTTCAAACCTAAAGTTAGGCATATTCCTTGTCCGTAACAACTGCTTAAGTCCCCATCGCATGTGCGCCGCCATTTTGTTTGTTTTGAAGATGAGGACCTCAAGTGGCGGAATGAAACACATTCCGGTTTAATTTCCGTTCATGATATTTATCTTTCATCCGTTTATGTCGGCAGGGGGAAATTAATATATTGTACTTTAGAGGCAAACATAAGAAAAAAATGATATCCTTTCTTTCTTGTCTTCTCTTTGCTCGTATATTTATTCTAACTGAAATATATAAATGTATGGGGTCATGTTTTTTTCTAATCTTAATAACACATGATGCATAACGGCCTTGATGGAAGTTGTCATGTTTTATTTCTAGATTCTCATCATCCCTAGCTTGAATTTATTTTTAGAAATAAATATATTAAATAAAATAATTTTTGCAGGAGCCAGATGACTGTTTTACAGGACGTGTAGGTATGACAAATATGTATTTCTTTAACATTGTTAGCAAGTACGAATTCTAGCTAATGGAGTAAACAATTATACTACATTTTTCAAAAAAATGTATAGTAGTTGAAATGACAATAGCATAAAATAGAAAAAGTCAAATTATAGCTTAATTTAAATTATAACATAAATGTAAATTAGTTACTTTCTAGCACTGTGATGAGAAAACAAAGTGTTTCACTGCAACATTCAAGACATTCCATTCCAAACGGAGCGCTCTGGTACTGTGCACATGTGTCTGACTTAAGATGGAGCAATTGTTTCAAATAAAACAAACAACGTGACAGCCTCAAGCAGGCCCACCCAAAGTTTCTCAACACTCGTTCTGACAGGGAAAGGTGGTGCTCAAAAGGAGTGGCAGAGAACGACAGACTCTCCCATAAAAGCGCGACAGTAATGGCTGAAGATCCTCGCCAACTACCACAGTGCCACTCGTTGCTTGAATAACCTGAACTACAGGGTTAGGTCTCTTCTTTTGGTTTCAAGAGGTATGAGTCTCACTCCCCCAGCAACTCCGCAAGAGCTCCAACACCTCTGAAGACTTCTGGATTTAAGGAATCCCTTTAATCATTTGTTACCTGCTTTCTTTGCCACAAAGACATGGTGCTCTGGACTATTTTGCCGATCTCTCTCTCCCTGGTGTCCTTCCTTGGAACATGGACTGTGTAAGTTTACTAGAAACATATCTTTAAACTGTGGTGAAACTATAACAAAATGTTTTTAGAAGATTAGATACTTTATTCTGCTATTGTCAGTGTGCTGCCTTTCACTGTAAATAAATCAGTTCATCAGTAATAATCAAATCGGTGAGCTTTTAGTTTGAAGCTACCGTGGAGTATCAAGATTTGTATTTGAACTGCATATACCTTTCTTAGGACATTGAGATTCCAGCACTTGGCTTTAAATAGCAAATGATGAGACAGCAGTGTGTTTCCCTTGTTTTATCAATTAATGAATTAGTTATTTAGACTTTACGTAGGTCTTTGTTATTATTGAAAAGCGTATATTAAGAAGACCAGAGTCCGAGCAGCCAGCAAAGCTCACCCTCTGCCTACGTCAAACCTTAAAATATGTGATCAAGCTTGTTTGTCCGTCCAAAACAAAGAACGCAGACTTTACAGATGTGCCTAAGGGCAAATTAGGTCTTAAACCAAAATATAAATACTTGGTTCCCTATATTAATTTTAACAATCATTAACTTATGTAAGCTATTAGTTAATACCCACAGAGTGCGGATTTCCCCTCATTCTTCTTTGCTGTTATTTCATTTTAGATTGACTTTTTTGCCAATTGGTGGAGCTTGTTTCTCAGACTGAACATAGATGTTCTTTTTCCGTGTCAGAGAAATATTTGTGATGATTTCATGTTTTTAATTAATAGTTATGAATGACCACAACAAGTTAGACCTGCTGGTCTACGTGTCAGTGGTACAATAAAATCATCGAAAGTTTGGGTAGCAGGCAACTTGTTCTCAGTGGTTATTTAAAGCTGGTACATACAAATAACTTCCTTGAAAACCTCACAAATTCATGTATTCTGAAAAAGTAAAACATGTTGCTCAACTTGTTCTCTACAGTGGTTATATAAAGCCGCAAGAGTTACATACATATAACTTACTTGAAATTTTTTTTTGAAAAAGTAAAACATGTTGCATTTTATGTCACACTGCAGCACATCAATAAAACAAAAACTAAAATCCAATAGTTTGAAACTTAATTCTAACACATCAACAGCCCAAATATGTAAAAGTTGCATCTCTATTTTTTTTCCTGTTTTCAGATACGGGCTGGCCTTCGCCAACCGGCATGTGTGCTCTCTCAGTGACTGGTGAGTTGTCTCTTTGTTTCCAGCTGAACATCGTTATTCGAATGTGACAGAATCTCCTGAACGTCATTCATTGGTTTTCAGGGGGCCTAACTACTACTGCAAAGAGAATCAGACAACTGACTGTTGCCTTGTTCCTACTATCAGGTGAGAATGTCCTGAATGTCCTGAATTTCCGGTTTGATTGTCTTTTCCAATAGAATAAAAATAGCAAGTTGTAATTAATCAATCACATGGTATGTGATTCTAGCTCAAGTGGAATAGGCGCGCCAGAAAATTCCCTTTTCACCGCCACAATCAACGCAGGATCCTTTCTGTGTGAGTTGACCTAAACATCTAACACATCAGACAGGATGTGAGTGATACTTGTTTTGACCACTGTGATCTCCTCTCCAGTCCTGGTGTTCTGTATTTTCCACCATGCCCACGTCATGGAGAAACACGCATGTCACTCCATGCTGAGTAAGTTTGCGCTCGTCTTTGGTGTGGTGGCGGCGTTGGGGGCGTTCGCTGCTGGAAACTGCAATGTAAGTATGGCATGTCCTGCTGGATATTGAAATAAGTGTAATTACCCCTTAAAGAGAAAATGGACCTGTCACAACTGTCATAAACTATTAACAATAAAGCTCAATGGCTTCGGTCAGCACCTGTGCTACGGCAAACAAAGGTGGGTAATATTGGTTTTACGTCGCCAGTAATGATTAATCAGATCACATGCAGCGTTTGGTTTTTAGTTTCAACTCAAAATTGATTGTTTTTTAATTAACTGCACCATTTCTACTTGACAAAATAAAAAAGGTGTATTGAAGAGCCAATACCAACATTTAATTTACTTAAACTAGTTACTATTTTGTTTATGTCTCTCTAATCAAAAAAAGCCAACATGCGTGTATATATATTTATGTTGTACATAGTGTGCTAGTTCCAATCGATAACTGTCATTCATTATCCATAACTACCCGTTCCTCCATTGACCACAGCCGGGTTACCTGGCGCTGCTCCACTACCTGGGAGCCGCCCTGAGCTTCATGTGCATCTGCTTCTACACCGTCCTGCTCACCGCTCTGACCGGGAAGTGCGTGCTGACCGGATACGAGAAGTTCCTCTACCCGTTCCGCATCGCCTCCACTGTGGTCCAGACCCTGGTCACCATTTGCTGTATCCTTTTTTTCGTGAATCTCGAAGCTAAATCCAACATGTTTTTCGTGTAGAGGATCGCGTTGCGCATCTTCTCGTTATGAGTGAGTGACGTGACATTCACGCATCGTTGGCCTGAGCGCCATTCTCCAGCTGATCCATAGCACCAGTACCTTCCCTGTGTGGCTCCATTGGGCGGCTCCTTGTTTGCAATGGGGGACAGGCCACAACATGTGTCCATTACAGAAAAATCATTGGTATTTTCACCCGCGTCATTCTTCCATCATGGTTTTCATTGTAAAACTCAGCGTCCTATTGTTTACATCGAAACTGCACGGCGAAACATGAGATAGTTTCCAGTGTCGAGCTTAACGGCACCCTGGTATCAGTTGGAGATGTATGCAGTTTGGTGACTGAACAAAGTGGCTCTAAACAAAACGTATCATCCACACATGTGCAAGGACACATTCTGTAGTACAGGGCGATGAGAGGAGCCGGCCTGCGCCACCTGCTTCCTTCTACTTTGTGTTGGTTCAAAAGTGATTTACGAGTCCAGGTTCTAATAAGTGACTAGAATTCATGTTTCGTTTCATCCTTGACCCGACACCCTTCAGACACAATTTTGTTTGCCCAGGAAGAGTACTACTACAATCACTTGTCGGCTATATTTGAGTGGATGCTCAGCGTCAACCTCGAGCTGTTTGAGCTCAGCTTCGTGGTGGAGTTTTGGTTCTTCTCGTCCTTCATGCTCGCAAATCTGTTGAGCAGACGAGAGGAAGAAAAGCCTTTGATGTTGACGTTGTCCTGATATGAGGCCGCCAGGGTCCAGGTGGGCACATGAGCAGTGATGGACTGAGTACGACATCTGGAACGACATCTGTGACTGGACCGTGGCTGGAAGAGCAATACCTTTTTTTCCTGTCATTCGGCTGTGATGGATTTAATTCTTTTCATGGATAATGACCACTTTTATTTCACCCTCTGGTCTAAAACTTGATAGTTTTTCTGGGTGTTCCTTATTCCTAACTGTATTTCATATTCCGTATTTATTGAAACAAGCTTGTGCAGGAAACGGCCAAAACTTCAGCTGTACTATGCTTTTGGGAAAGCCGTTATTGATGCTGTCAACAGAACAAATAACCTGAAGTGTTTTTATGCTAAAAATCAAAGACTTCATTGGGTGGACTAAATATGACCCGAAGTATGTCAAAGGTCATGAAAATCGCCTTGGTTTTAGCTTCTCATTAAAGTTTTCACCACTTGCGTATACTTTGACACTTTAATAAAGTTATGAACAGTGTAAACATTGAGAAGTGCTGTCATTTTATTGTTTCTGATTCCCTAAGACGTCAAAAGATCCGGTTTGGCGGATGACTAACACCGAGCGACAGTCATACTTGTTGTGCGTTCAGACGCACTAAAAACAAGATCGTTAACGATTAAGTGGTTAAGAATGTACAGTGCAGATGTCTGCCTCCTTTCCTTTGCACGTTTGTAGGTGGAGTCGGTTTTATGTGAGTGAACAAACCTGAGCGAGAATCTGACATTCATTTACCGTAGAAAAATAAAAAGTAAAAATAAAATGAAAGGTTGCTGGGTCAAACTAGCAGCGTAAAGCCTTTTTCCATGAGTCAGTGCTACATTTAAACCATTGAACTTCAAAGTAAGACGTCGACCTGATTTTAATGCAAAGCACTTAACCTTTACTTGAAAGAAGGTCATATACATCCTGGAAGTACAGATAATAAAGATACATTATGAGCAAAATTATTTCACAATGAATATCATCTTTCCTTTGCATTAACCAAGAGAGGAGTGCAACATTATCTACAGCTTGTTAGGAAGAAAACAGTGAAAAGCACACCTAATTCTTTCAGCATTACTTTATGGTACACTGTAAAAAAATGTCATCTATATGCAGAAGTCCACATTATTGATAGTAACAAAAAAAAAAAAAAATACAATTTGAAAAAGAAAGATTTCATGGTTCTCTAAGTAATTAATCTGTAATGCATACATTATAAATAAATGTAAGGGGAAGAAATAAGTCCAAAAACTACTACAAGCAATATTCCACAATTCCAGCATGGCTGAAACAATAAGCGGTCTTAAATCCAAACCTTATACTTTGGAGTGTCACCGCAGCTTTAACAAACCTTTAAGATACTGTTGATTCTTACAGCTGCTGTGTCTTGAAAGCCCAACTCATGCTTAACACTTCTGGATAAATCAAGTTAAAATTGCCCTTAAAATTTGTTTTGGTGAAGGGATAAATTATTACCCACCATATTTACCTGTGAGGTGAGAAACAGTTTTTGCTAGGAGTGTGAATAGTCAGCATGAGAAAAACACGAGGCTGTATAGTATAACTTCAAGCCATTTAGTACTGAAAAAAAGAAGCCTTTTCTGAACTAAGCTAGGGGAGGCCCCTGGTTTATCACAATACTCTTCACCTCGAAAAAGGAAATTTGTGTTCTTTAGCACGTGACATTTTGAGACAATTCCTCTTGTCTGGCCTCATTCCTATTTATAAACATCACCAGACTGGTTTGTCACGTTAGGTGACGCTCCAACTACACACTTTGAACAATTCTCTTTTCAAAAAAAGAAAGAAAAAAAAAATGAAAAGGAGAAGACAAAAAAAAAATATTGTGATGATGCAGTTTGGTAATTGTTTAAATCTACAGCGAGTTGAAATGGAGGCTGAAGGAGTTTCTCAAACGGAGTACATGTTCTTGGTGGTGGATCCGCTCTTGCTGGATGTGTCGTCATGTGACTGGTAGCCGATGATGGCTTTGGTGGGGATGTTCAGGCGCTCTTTATAATTTTGCCTGTGGAAAGAGAAGATGATCGGTGCCTGTGTGAAGACCTACTCCAACCGAGTGTCCCCATCTAGTGGTCGGCCGCAGCACTTTGTGTCGCTCCTTCAGACGAGGTGACTTACCCTATCGTCATGATGGCATCCCTGTTTTGGCACTGGCTCGTCCAGATGGATATTTTGTCCCCTTTTGGTCTGACGTTGACCACAGCTCCACACACATCTTCACTTGCCTCGTCAAACGACTCACCGACTAAACACAAGAGCTGCAGAAAACCCCCCCAAAAAAACCCCTTTGTGAATCATACTCTTCGTTTTTCTAGAAATCTCAACCGTCCAGATGATAAAGGTTCATCTGTCATTTTCCCTTACCGTTTCCATCCAGTAGCGGTCAAGGTCATTGTGTCTCTGTTGCTTATTGAGAGTCATCAGCCATCGACCCCCCAGCTTGTTCCTGTCGTCCTCCCACATTGGCTTGATCCCATCCTGACAAAGTAAAAGGTTAAATACTTAATTATTGGCTTCTTCAATTTTCAGTCATAACTTTGTCTTCGCAAGTCAAATGTTTACATTCTGCCGACCTCCCAAAGGCCTGCAAAATATTTTAGCCTTACCTTAAATAAACTATAATCACAGCCAAAGCCAAGTTTGCTGGGTTGCTGTATGTGGTTGTATAATCTGTAATAGAGACACACAATTGTGTTAACAGCATTCCAAAATGTGCACATAATGCTCTTCCACTGCCCTCATTCTGATTGATGGCACATTAACTTAACACTGAAGACAGATACATATTAAGCTCCTGCTACACAAGCACAGCATATTGTAAATGGGACAGAGTGTTTGTTGTTTTCCTGTAGAAGTTGTTCTACTAACTTGTGGCATTATAATATCTGAGAAATACATAGATGTTCTATCTTAGCTGGTATTTAAAAATACTACAGAAGCTCATACAATGAGTGAGGTGCAGACCACATCGTAAAAGGTAAACATAAGACAACATAAGTCGCATAATCACAGAATTAGCAGAACTTACGCCCAAAAGTCTTCCACCGTGTCAAACTTGGAAATGAGACGCAAGTTCTCTGTCCAGCTTTTGCTTTTGTCGTTTTTAAAATACCACAGGGCCCACCTGAGAGAAAGAGACCAGAGTCATAAACACTCACTATAAAAGACTGTGGGAAAATGCATCAAGTACAATGGCACAACGTTACAACGGGGGCATACGTACAGGCGCATAACCGCCTTGTTGTGAGAAATGGAGATGAAATGAGTCAGTTGTCCTAGAAGCCAAGAAGGACTGATGGAAGTTGCTCAAAGAGGCAGTTTTAGTACCTAACAGTAACCACAGAAACCATCTACCTCTAGTACCTTTTAACGTCCTCGTTAAAGAGTGAGTTACCTTGACTTAAAACGTTTCATCGAGATAAATTATTTTTGTTATGGTATGGCATATATTGGCTATTATTAACCTTTTTCAGATATATTGTATCAGTGTATATGTAAGCCGCTAATGGTTATATTGTTTAAGGATATTGGTTGTTTGCTATTGTTTAATAGAATGCATCTTAATGCAGACCCTTTCCCACAACATGCTGCAGGTGTTGGTTTCCCCACTATTTTAGTACCGTATGAAAATGTTGCATGACATTGAAATGTTAAAACAATCATGTCTTGTGTGACAGTTGAGTAATGGAGAAGTGCAGCCCTTTCAAATCCATCTGTAGATTTAACTTTTAAAATAAAAGCAACTGTGATATTGATATAGTTACAATGGTACGCACAAGTATCTGCAAGTTAATGATTATTAAAATGACCAGTATGACAATTGTTAAAAAAACAACAAAAACAGTAACAGCGCAGCTGGTTTCACGTCACAGAGCCATTTGTATCTTACCAAGTATGGCTACATTTTATTCTTGCTTTGGGGTAAGAAAATATTTTCGTAATCTTTCTGTGAAATAACCACTGGAATGTTGTGTCGAACTCATTCCTTCTGCTGCAGCGTACAAACAGCAAGACTAAGAATAAAGGTGTAAACTCAGTTGCCAGGATATAAAGTACACGGAGACAAAACAAATTCAGTCTAATGCAACGGTCTTAAAATAAAACCTACCGTTACGAAGGTTTATGTTGAGTTTTTATTAAGGAAGTTATGAGAGATGTTGACCCATCGTATCATCAGTTGGAGGTTGTTTTTGGTGCTGTTGAATTGTGTTACATTCTACTATCTACTACATTCTACATTTCTATGATTTTGTCTAGAGACCAATAATGACTGTGGCTTTAGTTTTAGAGTTTCAGATTGGCGTACTGAATACACTTAAAATTGAGGCTATACTTTAAGTAATATTTCACAACACAGCAGTCTTAGAAAATGCGAACGAATTCAACCAGCCACGGTTTCCTCATAGGTAATAAGTGTTGTGAGGCAATACAGAGCCAAGCACATCTAGCCTTCTCACTGAGATGTCCACCTTTACGGTGTTACTGCGAGAACAATCATTACAATTAACCCACCATAGTACGTTTAAATCTAATTAGTGCGCCTAAAATCGGACCGCCTAAGGCCACAGATGTGGAGAACTTTCACCTCCAAAGCGGGCTGAACAAGCAGAATGGCCTAGAAGTGAATCACTAAGTGAACTATTCAGCACTTCCTAAACCGACTGTACAATGCTCCTGAATAGGTCGTCACCGCCACAAAACTATGATAACATTTCTAAAAGGACAATGGTGAGCAACCACTGCAACACTAAAATGCAGAGTAGGGAGTAGAATTCTTTCTCCTCTGCTTAAACCTCAACACAGGTAACATCAATTCAACCAGGAATTAACTGCTATTATGACTTCCTTTTATTCCCAATAGCATCGCCGACAGAACACAAATATCTAACAGATGTCACACAATTTATTTAATATGGTGATCCAAATGATTTTACTGGGAAATGAATAGCTTAAAAACATGAATGCAAAGCGGAAGTTAGAAGTTGTTTAACGGTAAACCAACACTCTCCAGAGTCACTACGGAGAAGCAAGACGACAACTTTGTATTCCAAAGATCAGAAGGAGAAGTTTGTTTAAAACCTTGAAGTTGTAATTCCACAGCAGTGACTAACATTCAAAATCAGTAAATATCCTTCCGCCGAAACCAGACTAAGACTTATCTTATTGCAATAAAGGTGGTATGGAAGCGCTACTATCCTCTCAATGTGTAATTAACATGTTAACATGAACGGCAACACCAAAGACTATAAACCCTTTGCGTTCTTTTATTTTTAGACTTAACAGCCCTCCTCCAAATGGTTACATTTTTATTTTCCGTCTAAAATGAGCCTTAGATCTATTACTTATGTTACAGCATATTTTATCAAGCTGATTTACGGGTTACAAAATTGGTTGAAAACACCATTAAATCATGTGAATGTTTTGGAGATCGAGTTTACAGGACTATTACAATCAGTGTTGTTTAAGCTGGCGTCTGTGTGAGCACATGCACCTTGCGATGCAGTATCCCATCAAACACAGCAGCTGGTTTATTCTCACCGGTTTTGCAAGGGGTGCTTGATATACTGCTCAGGATTCGCAACGACTTGGCTGTCAGGAGCTTGTGGTTCTTCAGGTTCAGGGGCTTTCTGCAGAGATTAAAAAAAAAAACCATTTACTTTATGAAAGTACAAAAATAATTCAAAGTATCACATCCCTGTATGTCTTAATTATCACCACCATACAATTGCAGACTTTTTACAGGTTTCATACAAAGCGGAGAGATTGTGATATTTTTTATATTCTGTGGTTTATTTGTATATCTATGTATGACAGAGCAACGTGTAACCGGAGACAGATCCCATGCATGTGCAAACATACATGGCCAATAAAGCCATTCTGACATGAGGCTGGGTGTGGTGTTGGTTACTGTTGTGTCATAATGTAGTGTAAATACCATCTTCTAGATATAGATGTAAATAGTACAAATAAACTACCGTGTTGTAAACTTATACACCTGTTGCAGCTGAATTAATCTTCACTGAATCTTAAATATTTAAGGTTTCAGTAATTTAAAAAATGTAATTTAAGTACAGTAGTTCATCAACTCTTCGTAAAATCATCTACCTGGTAGGCCATCTTATCAAGTTACAGTCTGAGCTTCTTCCTCAGAGACCATAGCTCTATCATAAACCCACACTTTTAAATATCATAAGAAAGATTCAAGTACACAGGGAGCTAATTTCAGAAAGGTAAGTTAACGTCGTTAGCATTAGTTTTAGCAGACGTGCTAAGCTAGCTAGGAGCTAGACACACGTGTCTAGATTATCAAACAATTAATCAATAATATCGTGTTGGGAGCATTTAAAGGTGATGCTGGTTGAATGTAATCACGAATACATTGACTCCAATATCGAAGAAAATTAAAACAAATCATCGATGGTAGTTTGAATGAACGACGTCCAGCCAGTGCCTCCCTGATAACAAAGTCAGGCACTGCCTTTTTTCATCACATGCTAATTGCTAACGTTAACTGTGACCCATGCCAACTGACAACTGTGAGCCGAAACACAATCGTTTCCCAAATATAGTAGGGGCCGATTTGAGGATCCAGGATTATTAAAGAAAGCCGTTGTATGCCGTGAAGATGTGGTGAGTCATTCCTCTCACATCCGTCGATTTTTTTTCATCTATCTTCCGTCTCTCTTACCGGCTCGGATGTCGCCATCTTGACTGTAGGGTAGTTCTGCTCGTTCAGCGCTTCTGCGTCACTCCGGCCACTCAACTCAACTACGGAAGCCGCCGAAGCCCAATATTCCCGAGAAAGAGAATTACAAATATCAACCTCAACATACAGGTATATATATATATATATATATATATATATATATATAACCAAAAGTTTCAGCTATTAGAAGTGTACTTTCAGATATTTCTAATTGAGCATTTATATTTATTGCTACTTAATAGATACCTGAACTATTTAATGTATAATGCAAAATATAATAATAAAAGTAATTCTGATGATTAAGATAAGACTTTATTGATGATAAATCGATCATCAAATATATCAAGTATTTAAAATAGTCCCAACGGTAACTAGCTGCAACATTACTATTAATATTGAAGTGAAATGTGTACTTCTTTCCCCGCTGCTTAATTCCCCGCTGCCTTCTCACTTTTTAATGCCACAGCAATGGTAATTGTGGGTATGAAACATCTACTGACTACTACGCCAGTTGAGCAAAAAGAAAATTAACATAAATCATATTACCAGTTGCAGAAGGCAAAGTGGTGATTCATCCAAATGTGTGGAATTTAGAAACATTTTTTAGAATATGAACTATTGTAAAACAAAATCATGTTCCACAGGAAAGAGAAAATCATGTTCAGGTCCAAAATATAAATATGACTTTATTTCACAATCCCAAAAAAGAGATTAGCCAACCACACAAGTAATGCTAAATTGAGTCTCTTCTAAAGTCTAAACTGGATATACTTTAAGCATACAGTAATTCAGTTTCAAAATAAGCAAGATCATCCATAGTCTAAACACCATTAACATTACAGTAAAAACAATATGGTTCACATTCATATTTACACATTTTCTAGTAATAAAAGTTTTTTTTTATTTTATTTTTTTTAATGCTGGTGCTAGTTCTTAGATACTCATCAATACAAAGACTTTTAGTGTGGACTGAGAACGTCCACCACAGTAAATCAAAGGACATGTTTAAAACTGTAATTGTGTCATGTCTCGTGTTCAAAAATGTTCTTTATAAATCAAATGATTTACAAACAGTTTACATTCATTTCATTTTGAGAGCATGATGTGTGTTTTGATACATGTTACAGTTTGGTTATCCGTGGAAGACATTTATTTGAACTCTAGACGGACATCTGCACAATAATTCACTTTTTACTGGTACTGGTACCAAAACCTCATGATCAATGGTGGGAGATTCCAAAGCACCTCAGCCAGTAATCATCCACGTAAATGGTAAACCTACTGTTGAAACATATACAGAGCAGTGTGAGTTTTATTAAAGCACCATGCCATCACTCTACAGTAAATAACCCGGTCAAGTCAACGCGTGTACCTTGACTTCTTGTTCTATTAGCACCAAGAAAAAGTTGAAGTGTCTGAAAGAACAGAATGTTTCTGACGTACATCAAGTACATAACGGATACATTATTCCACCAGTGTTAGTGTGGATATCAGTGGTGTCGGTGGGGATGAATTCATTTGATGTTGTCTTAAAATACAGAGCCTCTCTTTGATGGGTAGTAACAAATACAGATCCTGGTCAACCAGGAGTTGAGACAAACCTCATTCTTTAGGCCTTGTGAATACAAATCTATTATCTGTAAACAAAGTCCCCACAACTGTCGAGCACCCAGAAATCGTCTTAGGCAATTGTTTGAGAGGAATTTGATGTTGGAATGGTTTTCCAACAAAAGCAGTGCAGAGTACAAAGAAGAAATAGTTTGATCATCCAATATTAGCCGACACAGTTTTGTGTCGGCTAATATTAAAATCCAGCGTGTGGACAGGACGACTGTAAATATTCTGTTGACATGTCAGACTCTTTGTTATGTATGTAAAATACAGAGGTTTTATTAGCACCATGACGTTTTTTGAAAGCCTGTAATCACACTTGTGCCCTATGCAAGAATTTAAAAATGATGTTTCCAGAAGACTTCAGATTTCGTTATTGAAGCATTTCATGATTCCTCATTACATTACATTTTGAAATTTCATGAGATCTGTATTTCCAATGCCATTTCCAATCAAATGGATGAAAATAAACACGGAAATACTGTAAAAATAAAGAAGGGTGCATGCTAAATTGTCATATACTGTATATCTCTATCTGTATATACATAATCAGGCCTATGGATTGAGACCCTTTTCAAGTTAAGTTTAAGAAAATAAAAAAGTGCTTCTTGGTGTAACATGCCATTCCTATCTGTAAATAAAAGACAAACCATCAGGACATAGAGAAATTAAAACAAAACAAGGAAGTGTGGTTCTTTCATGGGCTGCCAGAAGGGCTGCTTCTGGAGGGAGAAGATAAAGAAGAAATGCTACATCTGAAAATCTGTAGTAAATATATGCACAATATTAGTCCTGCTTTCTACATTATGCGATGTAATGATGAACAGAGAGAATGGCACCAACATAAAAGCCAACAAGATTCATATCTCATAGTTAACAGCAAATTATTGGCTGAAATAAAGAGCATATTCCTACTGTACAACAGAAAACATCAACAGATGATGCATGTTATCATAACATTTGCAGTAAACAGGCTTACACCAGGAATTAAATAGAAATTATTATGATCAGAATAAATAATCACCTTTTTCTGTTCTTAATCATGTATATAAAACCAGATTAAAAACATTTTAAAAAATGCTTTAAAGCACCATCTCAATAATATCACAGAGACTCACAGTAAAAAAGCCAACATACTTTGGTCTTCCTCACCACTTTGAAAGCAGAGATGAAGAAGGGCAAAGTCAACAAACAGATGCTAAAAAGCACAATGAAAACGACGTAAAAATGAGAGTAGCAGTTCAAAGTTGATTGAGGTAAGGCAGAAGCAAAGAATGTAGGAGTTTTCTGTGTCTGTGTGTAAAACACATTAACTAAGCCCAGCGATTGTAGGGGCCCGTCACCTGGGTGAGAGCATAAGGGGACGCGGTGACGACACCGTCCCTCTGGAGAGTCCGCGCTTGACGCGTGGGGACGTTCATGATCCTCCTCGTCCCCTCGGCCTCCTCCCCTGCTTCACTCTGTAGCCCCCCACCTCCAGCTCCTGTGTTCCCCACACATTTGCCGATGCACTCCTCCATCCTCAATCTCTCGGCCTCCTCCTCCCGTTCCCGCTCCCGCTTGGCCATCTTGGCATCCCACATGGCCATCCCGTGGCCTGGTTCATTTAGAGACTTGTGCTGGTAGAAGACCAGGGAGATGCGCGTGGGGTGGCTGCGGTTCGGCCTGAGGATAGGGGTGGTGGCGTGGAGCTCCCTGCGTGCACACTCTATCAGGATGGAACCGTGTGATGGGGCCACGGCGACTCCGCCTATATTGCGGTCAAGGAAGTTGTGCTCGCTGTCCGACCAAACCTCTTCTTGCTTGACTTCCTCTGCTTCCAGCGAGGGAGAGTGTGGGGGAAGGTGTAGGGACGAGAGTGGAGGAAAGCCGTGACCCCCGACCTCTGGCGTGGCCTCTTCTGCAGGCCTGTGCATTCCGTTAAGCCTACTGAAGAGGCCCTCAGAGGTCGGTCGGGGGGAGAAGGAGGAGTGGGGAGGAGCGCTCCCGCTGGGGGAGGGTCTGAGAAGAGGAGAGCAGTGCACCTCGTGGGGCTCAGTTTTAAAAGTGTGGGGGTAGTCACTGAGGGCATCGTGTGGAGGTATGCGAACCCTCTGGTCACCAGATGCTGGAGAATAACCATCCATGCCGTCACTCACTGTCTTATAATTAAGAGCGGAGCCATTCTGTCCCGACTGGAGGCCAGGCAGGCCGTGGTGATTTGGGGTAGTGAGCTTCTTCTGCGGGGTGACCTCTGCACCCAGAGTGGGGTAGCTGCTGGTGCTCTGGTTGTAAGTGCTGGTTGGATTCCCCTCCGCTGGGTACCGTCCAGTGCTGGCAGGTCTGGGTGGTAGTCTGTACGAGGCGTAGAGGCCCTGTGGTTCTGATATGACATTGAATATACATATATTATGCATTATAAAACACATTTGTACTTTCTGGCCTCCACGTATTACTGATTATAAAAGATTGACCACATGGCAAGACAGCTGGATTTACTACCTTTTTTAGGGGTTTCGTTTTTCACTTTCCCCGGAGTGAGAGGAGTGAGCCCAAGCTTCTTCTCCAGTTTATCTGCTTGAGCCTTCAGACGAGCTTCTTGCCTTATCTTGCGGGCAGATTTCACTGGCTCAGCCTGTAGACGCACCTGGCAGGTACAAACAAACAAAACACCGTATTAGTACATGATTGATACTTGAATGTATCAACACAATCACAGATGGTGCAGTTAGAAAGAAAACACACACACACACTCACCTCTCGGGGAAAAGCCGACAGAACTTGAAGAGCACCACTTCGAATTTTGTCCCACTGGCCCTCAACGTGACCGAACTCATCCCTGTCCGAGATCTTGTAAAGCGGCAGAACATGGAGCTGCTCATCTTCCGGTATGTTGCGCACTGCGCGGTTATCTTCCTTGGTTAGAGTGCAAACCTGAAAAAGGAACGTTAAGTCCGATCGGTACCTTACGAGAAGGTATAAAGCATGGCGCCATACTCGGAGCTCGCTTACCACGGTGCTGCCATTATTCATGTTGTGCGTGTCCTTGTGAGCATGGGCACAGAAATCCACACAGGCCGTAACACCCGAAAAAGGACGTCCCTCCCTCACACCCAGCCGGCAGTCGCCCCCCGCTGCCTCGTTCTCCACCTATGAGAGACATGAACTCCGTTTGTGTTATTTAACAACAAAGAGAGGACAATTCAAAATGAATTACACTGGAAGGACATTAATAGTAGCCCAAGACAGCTAAGGGTCATCAGTTAAGTGCGGCGGTTATTTAATGTTCCATACCTGGTTTTGGAAGGCCTCGGGGGCCAGTCTTTTGTAAAGAGGTGCGAGGTCAGTGGCAAGACTCTGAAGGTTGCCCTCTATCTTCTCCTCCTAAGCGTGATGGACAGATTTAAGAGTTTTCTGATTAAAATAATACACAGGTGGGATGCCGACACGAGCCACCAGGCCAATAACATACAGGAACAGGACCTGACTTTCCTCTCCCATCACTATAGCAACAAGAGATTATAAAAGATGATTTCCAGTAGGTTTTCTGGAAGATGACCAAGCCCTCACCTCCTCACGGTAGTCTCCATGAAGGCGGAACTTGCGGGGCACTTTGCTGCGGGCAAACTTACAGCCATTGAAGTACATACTCCAGGAGCACCCAAAGGAAAATGAAGCTCCGCAGGTGTCTTGGTCCAAACCCTGGCATGCACAGGTTCGACTGCGGAGATGGAGTGGCGGGAGGAGGATGAAGGAAACAAACGAAGCCGGGAGGGAAAAAGCATCATCGCAGGACAAAGTGGCAAGTACTCACTCTTCATTGAGGGCGCAGCGACGGCTGGTGGGCGAGCCGCGTTTGAAGAGGGTCTGCGTGAGTTCCTGGTAGAGATTGTCCGCCACCGGTCGAGGGATTCCCTCCCACGCCAGGATGAGGATCACCAACACGGCCGTGTCACAGTGGTGCCCAGGCCTGCGGCGGACCAAACACAGCAGCTTCTCCTGCTCACTGCCACGCCGGATCACCTGTCAGGTTATTGGCAGACAAAATGATGGATGCTTACGGGGTTATGAGTTCAAAGCACTGTGATTGAGCTGCCAGACCATACGATTGTGTTTTAAGAGAATAGTTTAAACATTTAAGGGATGTAGTTGGAAAATATGTTTAGGTTTTCATGGGTTTGGGAAGGGTAAGAATCTGGAAGTGACTTCCGTCTCTGCCCCTAAATGTACCATGGTGGGATCCCCAAGAACACTTCAATATACAGAAGACATATTCAGGACCTTTAGGAAACTACCATGAACAGCAGCAACCTACCCATTTAGCTATCGGACACCCCTGGGAACTCCTTCCTTCTTTCCCAGTGTAAACAACAACTTCCACCCTCACTGCATTTCCTTTGGCACCATATCTGTAACAAAAACAAGGTGAAGCATGAGTATGAGTCAAGTATAAGTATCAATGTTTCATTGATCCCAGAGCACATCCCAGTGAAAAAACATATTTTTTTATTACACGGTTACGATCCCTCAGGGCAAATTACAATGCATACACCCATTCGATCACATTACCAACTGAGATGCATTTGTCATTGAACAGCTAAATGACTGTGCAACGACACTTCTAAAGTTGCGTGTAGTTGCGGACCGACTGAGATGGACCTCACAATGTTTTAAACACGCTGGCATCGTGTCTTTGCTCTAAGGGTTTCCTGTTTCAACACGTTGTATCTGAGTGTGTATCTGAGAGAAAGGGGTGCACAACTTGTAGAACTTGCAGAGCAGTGTTATTGACCCCACCCCACTCAACCAAGCCTGAGGTTGACTAGTACTCCCTCAGCATATTTGGTAGAAAACACACCCACATATACACCGTGTAAACAGAGTGGAAGTAGTCACTATACCTGTTCTCCATCATTTCCCTCACTGCAGGAACATTGGGTCCCGCTCCAAGATGGGTGTAGTAAGGGCCTTCCTCCTTTTCAATGATCTGGTCTGTGGGGCAGAAAATTAAAATGTATTAGATATTCTCGAAACTTCACAGAGTGCAGGACTGTCCTTCAAATACTGATGTGATGCTGGTGTATTTTTTATTAAAAAAACTGATTAAATGTTGAATGATCATAGCTGGATTACAGCTCAGGGGCCGCTCCGTTGGATTTCCACAAATCAAGACCAAATACATCAGAACTGGTCAACAAGGCTCAGCAAAGTACCGTGAAGCCTCCTCCAAATATAGCAGAGAAATGCGGCCTCTTCTGCTTGAATTAGGACACTGTGTGTGTTTGTGTGTGTGTGTGTGTGTGTGTGCGGGATGATTTCACGAGAGAAACTAGAGAGAAAATATCGGTTTGAGGACGGCAGTGTCACTCCAAAACAAAGTTCCACACTGGATTCAGTCAATCCGTGCAATATAGCAGATATATGTAAGACCAGTGCAGTCCCTAAAACACAGTGAGGTAGAGCCAACTCACCCACACACTGACAGGATGGAAGATCAGCCAGTTTTTTGGAAGGCGTGTTGAGCAAATTCTTGGTCGGGGTATCCATAAAACTCATAGGAGACTCCAGAAAGCCGTTGACGCCGTTCTTGATTGGAGTGGATTCTGCAGAGTGGCCCAGATCCCCATCCGTAGCAGTGGACAGCACGGTGACCGGTCCTGTCCTCTCCAGCTTGTAGTAGCCCTGCTGGCTCGGAGGAGGGGACTGCTGAGCCCTCGAGAAGCCGTTAGCCCGGCTGTGCAGACCAGTGGTGTGGCCGAGGAGAGCGGCATCAGCTGGGCCGGTGTTGGGGTCGGCGCCGAAGGGATGCGCTACCTGAGTTAACAAATGCCTTGCGTATTCCTGCCCCTGTCCGGCAGCATGACCGTTGCATGGATTGTGTGGGTGGACTGGACCGTTTGAAAGGGACCAGGGATGGTGCTCGTGAGGGTGGTCGGTCCTTGTGAGAGCGCTGTGTGCGTTACTGGGATGGATGAGCTGTCTCCTTTCCTCCTGAGCCTCAGCCAAGTATCTCTTCAGGTCAATTTGAGCTTGTGGCAGAAACAGGCTCCTCTTGGGCTGCAGGCCTGACTTCCCCAGCGGTTGAACCTTCTGGCCTCTGCTCCTCTGGGCCGCCTCTCCATTGGGTGTGCGTTTAGAGAGGGGGGTCCTGACGCCCTCATTAGGTCCATCACTTTTCTTCTTCCTGGGCTTGGCGGGCGTTGCCCTTGGTTTTTTCACGGGGGTCTTTTTCTGACTGGGGGGCAGCTGGGAGTTGTAGTTGTACTTGATGGCCGACACAGGGGTTCCTTTTGGAGGGTTGTTCTCTGACTGCTGGCTGTGTCGAGACTGGATGATAAAGGCCAGGTCGGCCAGCTGAGCGGCCACCTCCTCTTCCTCTCTGTTTCTCCTCGCCTTAACAACCCTGTCTCTGTCCTCCCCAAACAAGCGCTCATGATCTCTACTGAGCTTCATCTCACTGGGGTATTTATAGCTGCATTCAGACTTGATAGCGTTAGAACATAAGCCCGTCTCTGTCCTCCTGCTAGAATCACTGTTTGAGCTGGCTTCTAAGAGGTCCTGCAGAGACAGCTTTGTGTTAGAGCTTGACCCCTGCATGCGCTGGATGACGTTCCCTTGTCTGGCCACAGGGGGGCGTATGACTGACGTCTGGTGATGTGGTGAGCTGATGACCGAGACTTTGTTGTAGAGGACGGCCGCTGTGGGTTTGGCTTCTTGCAGGCTTGTATTTGTAATGTAAGTTGAAAATGGGGCTGAAGTGGAAATGGGATGTTCACACTTACTTTCAACTTTAATGCACCCTGGGGTGCTCTGAGGTACGGCCAGTTGAGTCAAGGCTTCAATAGCAATAGCCTGATCAAAACTAAGATTTCTTCTCTCCGCCAAGGACTGCACGCTTTGTGGCAAAGCACGTGGAGGAGGGTCATTTTTTAAAAGCAGGGGAGTCCTTTGAAGGCCAGCAGGGGGGCTTTTGTTACACAAGTCATTGTTTAAGTCCTCAGGCTCTTTCTTAATAAAGTACAAATCTGGTGGTTCTGTTTTGATGGAGCACAGAATGGAAGAACGCGAGCTGAAAAGTTTCTCCTCCAGTCCCTTCCTCTCTGTGACAGAGAGACACACCACGGCCGCCAATGTGGACAACGGGTCTTCGCAGACCTCGTCTTCATCACTCAGCTGTGCAGTGGCCTGTTCAGTGATCCACATCCACGGCTCCTCCAGCTTGATCTTCTTCAGTGGAACCGATGACCTGTCTGGAGGAGTCTTGGGTCCATTCTCTGGGCAGTCTTTGGGGATTGCAGCTATTATACTCCTTTGAGGCTCTGATGCAATCGGTCTTTTATATGCAGACTTCAGGTCGGAATGTGACCCGGTGGTCAAATTAGCACCGTTAGGTTTTGTCAGATTCTCAGCAGAACCGTTGTGAAAAGTGACAGAAGAGCACACGTGTTGGTGAAGTGCACCGCTGGTAAAGTCCAGTCCGAGTTCTCTTTTTACAATTGCCAGCCGCCCCCCTTGGTCCTTGGCCGGGTCGTGGGGGAGCGAGTGCGTAATGGTGGGCGCTTGGGTACGAGGTATGTGGCCTTCCTCCCCGTCATCTTCCTCCACTGCCGTGTGGGTATCATCCATCTGCGCTTTAACTTTGCCATTTACCGATCCACTTTCTGGAACCACCTGAGACGCAGAGAGAAAGAGAGAAACAAGAGGAGCGGAGTGACTCAACACGCTCTGGCAGTATAAGAGGGATTCGGCTTGTTCCAAACGGTCACGGCAAACAGCACGACAGATTGCCTCCCAGCATGGCATGAGCCTCTGCTGCAGCCACTGTAAAGATTATGCTTTCTATAAATCTTGCCGGAAACCAAACTTGAAAACGGGCAAATGAAAAGTAAAGTTGTGTTAGTTCGTAGTTGCGGCTTCGATCAGGGCTGCATTCCTGCATGTGTTGACAGCCCACAGGTAGCCGAGAACCAACGAGTGAGCATTTGCACTCACGGACTGTTCTTGATTACGCCACTGCCAGTAGGTCACTGAGGGCATGCGTTCAGCGTGCATGCACATGTCACGTTTGTGTTGGGTTTGTAGGCGTGTTTCTGAACATGCACGGGTGCAAGCATGTGTGTGCAAGCACATGAGATTATAACAAGGCAGCCCTGCCATGTTAACCCATATATATTTGTTGAGTGAGGGATTAACCAACACATGGTCTCATGCAGACGCAGTGCAGCTTTTGTTAATAAGGATTCCGACTTCTAGCAGAGCTACGACCATCCAAAATATCGACATATTGATTGCCTCAAAAGGCCAAGTTTGAAGAGACAACCACAGATAGTTGTAAGTGTAGATGGTTAGCAATAACTACATGAAGAGGAATACAATACAGTAATATGGGAAGAAAAACAAGTTTTTTTTTCTTTCAGAATATTGCAATTTAAGCCTTTTTAGAAAGTAAAAGGGCAAGAAGGAAAACCCATACTGATAAATATCTAGCAGTCAAAATCACATTAAGAATTGAAGCCTTCAGCATGGGAAGCCTCAGACTCAGCTGACAAAAATATCTTAAACTTCTTTGCAGGAGCTGGAGAATCCATGTGCATTACTGTGAGCGATGTGTACTGGTGATGTTAATGTGTGTGTGTGTGTGTGTGTGTGTGTGTGTGTGAGATACTTTCCATCTAATGAACTAGCACATTAAACTCTATTCTATCTCTCTATTTTAATGCATTTTACAGCAGGAGGTGTGCACATAATGTTTATTGTTTATAATTGTATGATCTTTATGTGCTCCATTCAACTGTTCTCTGTTGATTTCCATCGTAACAGTGCATTCACGCTTGCACAGTGAAAACATTCCACATGTGATGGCTGCTGAGAAAGAGCATGATCTGCCAGATATCGGCGTCTCCAAGATAAATCGGAGATGAAGCAGTCTTTCAGAGCTAAGTATTAAATTAAAAGGTGTCAGCTCTGGGGTGTAAGAGGATTAATACTGGAAAATCTCCTGAAATGGAATTTTAAAGACGGTTGTTAGCTGCCTGAAGAAGAGGTCTTTTATGTTTGACACCAAAGAAGCTGCTGTGTGAATTCTGTTATTGGATTGGAGGCTAAAACTAAGGAGGTTAAAAGTATTTGTTGTGATCGAAAGAGAGTAAAGAGAGCAAAGGGTATTAAGATTTCAAGCTGTGAAGACAACTGAAGCCGAAGCTATTGGTAAAGTGTTCTTATGTACAATGATTTCCATTCTTATTCATGATAATCTATATAATATGTAACAAAATGGTCCTTGTTCTTTGGGAACGTGGGATTTGCACAGGTCCACCTGGTGTTTACCCCTTTATGGCCAGATGAAAATCTTTTTCATATTTAACTCCAGTGTTGTCGGAAATATTTCAACATGGAACCACTTTTTATGATCTACTTGTGTCCGCAGGAATGCAGAGGCTCGTAGCCAAAGGCTGCTCCTTAAAACAGTGTCAGAGGTGTGTGGAGGATTTAACATCAGATGTTGAACTGGTGTTGGATAATGCAAAGGAAAGTCGCAGGAAAGTGTCCGTCAGGAATGTGGCGTATTACTAGAAACACGCTGCTGATGCAACAGATAGCCGGAGCCCAGGCTGAGGCGGGACTGGAGACGCTGAGGCAACGGGGTCAGATAGTCGCTCCACACGGCCACTGCAAATGGGCCACCGCGACGTTCAAATGTACCCGTGAGGGGAACGGGGGGGCGGGGGTCCGTCAACTGCTGCTTTCAATGACAAAGCAGCTCTGGACAGCTTCCAGCACTGCACTAGACACACTCGTGTCTCTCTCCATGTGTTTGCATGTGTGCAAATCTGCACAAGCTGAGATCACCGAACATCCGCTGTTTTTAATTACACTATTGGGCCTTAAGTCTAAATGCAGAGTCATGTGCTCTCATTCAGCCTGTGTTTAGGTCGGTGTTTCTTTGCGTCCGAGAGTTTGTTGTGTCTTCCTCAAAATTACGCACACAGCACTGTATTTATTGTTTTAAATACACACACACACACACACACACACACTTTTTCTTTTATGACCAACGGCCGTGCCTGTGTCGAAGCTCTGCATATCAACAAAAAAGACATAAGAGAGGCCAAGGGCAAGTGCTTTAAACACAAACAGGCGTTCAGAGACCTACCCTAGCAACAGACGCGTAACCGTGGCTTGAATCCTAACAGCTCTTTCTGTGGATCTCCAAGGAAGTTCAAAGGAGTGCGTATCCTTTCTTTCCCAACAACAGAAACGTGTAAACACACTAACCTATACATGCATAGTCCACTAAAGAAATGAAAAGTAAATCTTTAGAGTAACTTTCAGCTGTGGTTCACTTCGTGGCTGTGCAGAAATATTACACCGCTAGGATCCTCACCTCGCAACGCTCTTAGAAACGGTACACAGAGAAGAACATGCTTCCTTTCTAGCTGAGGATGTAGGTAGTGGTTAGTGTATGTTTCTCACATGTGAGAATTTCCTTCATTCATTGAGTGAGCGTTTCCTGTTTGTCACGTAGTGAAAAACTGAAAGCACGCTACTTTAAAAAAGACAACCGCTTCAAAAAAAAGGTGGAAATATAACGTATCAACTTGAGAGAACTGTCCCTCAATACACCAGCGTGAGCTTAATTAAGAGTAAAACATAAACAATGATAGAGAACCTGTCCTACAAACCGCACAATAACTACTGCAGTCAAACTAGTAAAGCCTGCTAAACTCAGAAAACAGCAGGTGCAAAAATATCGCTGTAACAACTCCTTGCAAGAAAGGAAAGAGGGGACTCTTCATACAGTATACCAGCTAAAAAAGACATGCAACAGGGAAAGGGAAGAGCGATGACTGTTACCGTGGAAACTGACCTCTTTATTGCTGACTTTGTTGTCACGTCTTTTAAAGCCACCTGGAAAAGACAGGCTGATCACTCACACACTGCACAAACTCCTTGTCCTCAGCGATTGAGTAGGAACAATAACAACACCGGCTTCCAAACGAGCCACTCCAATCAGCTAAATCCAGGGCGGCTGAGAGAGAGAGAGAGAGAGAGAGAGAGACAACGGAGGATAACCTCTAGATGAGCTCCACTGCAGTTTAGCCATCTGCAGCGAGACAATAGACGCCGGGGCTGCCTTTACCTTGTCGGTCCTCGGAGGAAGCCCCTCCGGTTTAGGGAGCATACCCCTAAAAGGTATTGGTGGCCATCTTGCTTTGCCTTTCTTCAGCCTCAATAGAAAAACCCTCGCTACTGTAGCGGTGTGCAGGGCAAGCTCCTGAGTGTCATGACCAGTGCGACTGTGAGCCGCTGAGGCAAAGTGCTGCTTCAGCAGACATGCACACACTCACCGCGCGCACACACACACAGGGACATATAGACACACACGCGTGTGGGATGCCTTTCGCAGACGCAGACAGAGCCTCATCAGCCAATGGCGTGAGGACCTTTGTGGCTTGTAAATTATCTTTCATGCCTAGACTCTCCTAAACAAAGGATCCCCTATGAGGGCTTTTTACTCCAGCCCTGCACACATGGACTGGTGGCAAGCTGTGGAACGGATAGCGCACACACGCTGGATCTGGATCACAGGAAAACAATTCCATCCCCGCTGAGATGTTAATCCCTGATGCAGCTCACCGCACTGGCTGTAATGCTCTTGGGTATTTAAAAAAAACTTTATTTTTTTCCCTCCGTCATAAACTCGCCGTCATGTTTAAGTCATGTGATTATCAATCACTGAATAGCATAAGCGTAAATTGCGTGCGTGTTGGGTGAGGCGTTCTAATTTCCACACGATCTAGAGGTGGAAACTGTGGCAGGAAAGAGGATGTTCACAATATCCACACTGTCTCAACAACCCTTTCCCCTCATTCTCGCTCCTCCGACTCTCCGAGGAGAGCGTTTCCCTAAACAACTCCCTGGAAAGAAGTCACAAGCAAAAACAAGGCGACAGGGGGCGAAAGGCAAAGAGGGAAAAACGCTATGACACAGTAAAGAACCCCCCCCCCCCCTTTAAAGGGAACCATGTGGCCAAGTTGCCGAGGTCACACCGGGACAAGGAAACATGAAGGCAGCTCGAGCCGGTGCCTGTCGGTAACGCTCGAGTAACCCACCTCGGCCAAGTGTTTGATAATGGAAGCAGAGAGCGTGCAGCCTAATCCATACACAACAATGAGAGCCACGTTAATGTGGGGTTCACGCAATAAGCATAGAAATATCATGATGAATAAATAGAGAACCATGTCGTGGTGGGGGAGGAAGTCATTATCAAGGGATTTAGCAATAAGCCGTGATAAAACCTCAAAAGATATTCATCAGTTACACCCAATGTGCCGTACCGTGGCGAATATAGCACATGATCTCATGTGCTTTCGAAGGAGAATGGGTTCCCCTTTAAAAGTCCTCTGCGACAATATTAACCCATGTCACAGTTCATCTAGAAACATATAGTTTTACACCAAATTAACATTTAATTACAAATATTTGAACACTATTGAAAATCAAGATTAATATTTTTGTATCTGTCACTATCCAACTGCATAGTTCAACAGTCAGTCAGTGAGATGCTGCGCGCACACTTCTGCACGCTGTGGCTTCATGTATATGTATTTCACAACATGATCAAAACCAGAACCGGGGAACAATCAGACCGTGAATTAATTTTTATTAAT